CACATGGCTCAGTCCACTTTGCTTTTCCAGTTTCAGTCTCAAACTTGCTTCTTCCAGGTAGGCTTCCCTTTTTTATTTTTTTTTTAAGATATTATTTATTTATTCATGAGAGACACAGAGAGAGGCAGAGACACAGGCAGAGGGAGAAGCAGGCTCCATGCAGGGAGCCCGATGAGGGACTCGATCCCAGGACCCTAGGATCATGACCCGAACTGAAGGCAGACACTCAACCACTGAGCCACCCAGGTGCCCTAGCCAGGCAGGATCCTTGCTTACTTCCTTGATCCATAATTCTCAATCCACAATCAACAATTGGTTTGAAGTGTTTTGTTTCCTCAGCAAATGAGGGCATTTGGTGCCATATGGGGGGTGAATGTCCCCTGACGGTCAGGACCCCTATACTTGTTCCCCCCTACTCCCCTGCTTGCCCATGACCACGGGTAACAAAAATAATGATGCCATTTCTTAAAATGCCATTGAAACAATGCCATGTTAAGTGTTTTGTATTCAGTGACCTCATTTAATCTTGGCAACATCCGTGCGAAGTGGGCGCTAGCTAGTACAGAGGGGGACGCGGGGGCCCAGGGAGCCAGGAGGGGGCTGGGGGCCTGCCTGCAGTCACAGAGGGAGAGCTGGAGCCCGTGCCTGTTCCCTCACCTCTATACCTGACCTCCCAGCCCAGCCTCCTGCTTCCTCTCTCAGCCTGTTTTACTTTCCCAAGACCAGTCTGGCCAGACTCTGACTCAGTTTACCCCATCGGGCCTGAGTGGAGCAGTAGGTGAGGCCTCTGTTCCCAGTCAAAGGTGAGGAAGCCTGGTGTGGAGATGGGACAAAGGGGGCCCCAGGGCGCTGAGCAGGGAGGGGTCCCTGAGGCGTGTGCCCTGCAGGGCAGCTGAGCAGCGTGCTTTGGTGACCAGCTGACCCTCTCCTGGGAAGCAGTGACGCCCCGGCTTTCCTGCTGCCTCTGCACAAGCACAAGTGGTCTCGCCCACGTACCTAGCGCTCCTCCCTGCAGCTCCCTCCTCCCTGAAGCTCTGGGTTGCTTTCTTACGGGTCTGGGCCAAGCCCCTGCGGCCTAGCCTGGGGCGGATTCCTGCCGGTACTGGCTTTCCTTAACTACAATCACAGCCCCGCTGAGGTAGATGGGGAGCTGTAAAGCCTTTTTAAAAGGGGCAATAAAAGTTTTGGGTTTCAGATGGTCTCACTGAAGAAGAGAGTAACAGAGACAGGAAATGTCAGTAGCAGACAAAGGCCAAAGCGCACAGGCTGGCCTCAGATGAAGCACCTCCTTCTGAGCAAACAGGCGGCCAGCAGCCCTCACCCCAGCCCCAGTCTGAGAGGCAGATGGGCCCCTACAACACACATGGGTTGTCCTAAGTGTTCGTAATACTTCTCTGCTGGCCACGGAGGAGGTGTGCACACCACCTCCATCTGAGCCCTGCATGCGAGCTGTGTGTGTGTGTGTGTGTGTGCACTTGCACGTGCATTTGTGTGCATGGGAGACGGTGAGTGCCTGGGCCTGGGGTACATGTGTGTGTGTATGTGTGCACGTGTATCTATGTGCATGGGAGATGGTGGGTGCCTGGGCCCGGGGTACACATGTGTGTGTGCATGTGTGTGTGCATATGTGTGTATGGGGAGGGTGGGTCGCCTGGTCCTGAGGTACACGTGTATGTATATGTGTGTGCATGGAAGATGGCAGGTACCTGGGCCTGGGGTACATGTGTGTGCATGTGTGTGCATGGGAGACAGGGGTGCCTGGCCTGGGGTACACGTGTGTGTGTATGCACATGCATGTGTGTGCATGGGAGATGGGGGTGCCTGGCCTGGGGTACACGTGTGTGTGTGCACATGCATGTGTGTGCATGGGAGGTGGTGGGTGCCTGAGCCTGGGGCACATGTGTGTGTGTGCGCACGTGTATGTGTGTACATGGCAGATGGTGGGTGCCTGGGCCCGGGGCACACGTGTGTGTGCGCACATGTGCATATGCATGTGTATCAATGGGAGGTGGATGATGCCTGGGCCCGGGGCACACAAATGCTCCAGCAGGGGCATCGGCTGCATCTGGTCCTTGCTCTGCAGGGTCCAGGGAGACCTGTGCCCAGCCCAGCCCCCAGGTCCTGGGGGGACCCAGTGGGAGGGACAACATCCTGCTCATGTGTCTTGTGCACTGCAGCTCCTCTGCCCGTGTCACTTGATGTCACTCAGGACGCCCAAACCCGCATATCAGGGAGCTGCCCGGTTCCTTTCGTTTCTGGTGGATGTGCTGTCCCAAGCCATAGATGCTAGCCATAGCCACAGGGAGAGGGTTGCCCCATAAAATCCAGGGCACCATTTCAAATACAAATACAAATTTCGGGTGAACAGTCAATACTGTTTTAGTAAGTATGTCTCATGTAAACAGGTCCCAAATGTGTGAGAGCTGGGCAGGCAAAATCACTATTTTTTATCTGAAATCCATATGTAACCACATGCCCTGTATTTTATCTGCAACCTTACACATGTAAACGTAAATTAATTAAAACAAACTGATATTTAGCTCCTCTGTAGCACAAGCCACATTTCAGATGCTCTAGAGTACGTGCGGCTGGAGAGCAGGGTGGCGCCAAGCATCTCTCTGTCAGGAAAGCAAGTTCTGCCCACTGGCTGCTCTGGGCCTGTGGGTGACCTCTGGGGCTTGGCAGTTGGCCCGCGCTGGAGGGCAGTTCAGGGCCCCGGTTCCCTAGTCGTCATCAGGGGTGAGGTAAGTCCTGTCCAGAGCCCATGGGGGTCGGGGAGGGCCCTGGAGGTTCTTCCTGGCCCCAGGAGCCGTGACTTTCAGATTCTAGGGCAGGAAGACCCCGGCGCATCCCCCTCGCCCCAGCCCTTGGCCAGAGGCCCCACGATGTCAAAGTGGGCCTGTGAACCAGAGGAAGATGGCACTAGGAGAAGAAGTAAGATGCTGGGGACAGCCACTGCCCAGCGCCTGGTGTCCAAGGGACCAGGCCCAGCCACCCGCATCCTGGCCCTTGGTGTTCTCATCTGCACAGTGGGGTCTCCACGGTGCTGACCCTGCTTGGAGTGGCACAGCGGGCCGCGAGCCCGCGCAGCAGACGGGGCTGATGGCTGGAGCGCGCCTCCTAATTGTCCATGACTTACAGACTTGGCTGGGCTCCCAGACAGCCTCATAAATCAGCGCAGCCACAGTGAGTAGCCTGTTAGTGCGGCCCTTATGCGCTTGGCAGGCCCCTCACCTTCTCCCTGCTCGGGAGCATCCCACTGCATCCAACTTTCCATGTGCTGCTGCAGAGCTGGGAGCTGGGGTGTGCTTGCGGAGCATGGGGGGCCAGGGGGAGGGGAGGGGTGATGGGGTGGGGGAGCTGGGGAAGGAAGGGCAGAGGCTGGCTGGCCACTTTGTGGATGCCTGTTCCCCAGAGCGAAGCCCTCAGGCCCCTGGCATGGCCCCCAGAGCCTCCCCTTTCCCTCCCGCTGTCTCCCCTGCAGACGTGGGAGACAGGCTGGATGAAAAGATGCTGTTTCCAGGGTGCCCTGCCTCTTTGCGGGGTGAGCATGTTCCTGTGGTGTGCACATGTGTCCGGTGCGTGGTGCAGGTGTGCCTGCATGCACACCCCCCTCCCCCCAACCAGACAAGAAGCCACTGGAAGCACATCTGCCCCTTGCTGCGGCAGGGAAGGGCAGGGCCCCGTCCGTCTGGGGGGGCTGGCCCTGAACCTGTGCTCATCTGGGAAGAAAAGTGAAAATGCACCCCTGCTCCCTAGGCCTGCCTGGCCGGGACTCTGAGGGGCAGTGGGGAGAACCGAGTGGCTGTTCTGGCGTCCCTGGGCTATCAGGAGAGAAAGAGGCTGAGCCAGGTGGAGGCTGTGGGGGTCCAGGCCCCCAGGCTGGGGACCTCCGGATGGTCAGGAAGGCTGACAGACCTTGTCCCCGGATCTCTCCTGACCCCCCAAGGTGAGCAAGAGGTGATTTAGGACAAACAGCCAGCTGCCCTCCCAATGGGCAGTGGGAGTGAGCGTGCACCACCTGGAAACACAAACAGGCCCCAGACAGGTGTAGGTAACTTCCTGCCTGACACATGTGCCCACATCATTCGGGAAGGCGGGGTGGGCCAGGGCTGCTGGGGAGGCTCAGGTTTGTGAGGTGATGTCTGGGAGGCCTGCTCCCACCACCCCTGGGGCCCAGTGCGGACAGGCTCTGTGCCAGAGCTTGCTGACCTCCCCACGCCCTGTGGCAGTCTTGCCCCATGTGCCCGGCCCGGGAGGGCCCACTGGCTTCTGCTCAGGGACCCCCTTCCTGTGCTGGCGTTGAGCTAGGGAGAGTGCTGTGTGCTCGGCGTGCTCAGGGGACTGGCCATGGGGCAGCTCCTGGACCAGCAGACGTAGGCTGGGGCCTAGCCTGGTGCTCACCTGCTTGCGGCCTCGGGCTCCTGTCTATAGGATGCAAGGATCACACTTTGCCATGGACTTGTTTTAAGAATTAGAGCAGGAGATGAGAAGACAGGGCACACAGTGGGGTCAGGTATTGAGGACCTGGCTGGAGGGGTGGCCACGCAGGCCTGGGCCAGGGACAGAGCTGCCCCACAGACCGCAGCTTCCTGATGGGTTTGCACAGAGCCTGAGGCACGGGACAGAAGCAGCGATGCCAATTTCCAAGAGAAAACAGATGTTGTGAGGAGGGCGTGGGCAGAACCCCTCCAGCTGGGGCTTGGCCCACACTTTTGGGTGAGGAGGGAAGGGGCAATATGGGGACACATGCTGGCTCTGGGCTTCTGCCGACACCCATTGGGCAGGACTGGTGGAGGGGGCGGGGGGAGGGAGTACGGCTTTTTCCAGCATGGTGTTTGGCACTCGGGGGAACCCTAGGGAATGGGCAGGGTGCTCCCCAAATCCCCAGGGACCCGTCAGGCTCGGAGGGTAGACGACGCCCCTGGGTGCTCCGGGGTCAGGAAGGGCAGGAGGCCTCTCTCCGGGGGCCTGAGACGGGGGCGGGTGGGGGGCTCGCGGCGGGCAAGGGCCGGGGGCCTTGCAAGGTCAGATACAAGCACAGCAAAGGGTGGAGCAGTCTAGCTTGGCAGGGGGCCCCGCGCTTCCAGCCTTCTTGTTGACCTTGGGGAGCAGGAGGACGAAGGACATGGCCAGGGCACAGTGGTAGAAGCTGTGGACATAGGTGTAATCCCAGTCCTGCAGGGGTGGGGAAGGGGGATCAGTCTGCAGCCCCAGGACACCCCCCCTCGCTCTGTGCCTCTGCTGGCACGCCTGGCATGCCGGGCACCTGCCGGTCACCCCCCCTCAGGAATCTGGCCACATGCCCTCCTCCAAGGGGCCTCGGCTCAGCGTGCAGCCCACAGGCCGTCCTCCCTGACATCAGAGCCCGGGAGCACAGAGGGTACAAGGTGGAATGTTGTAGCATTGGCATTCGCTGTTGGCAGCGAGGCTGGGGCTCCTCCTTGCCTCCCTTCTCCCCCTTCCTCCCTCTCCCTCCTCCTCCTCCTTCCTCCCTTCTCCCTTCTTCCCCTCCCTACTCCTCCCCTCCCTCCTCTTCCCTCTCTGTTCCTCATCTCCCCTTCTTCCTCCTTCCGCCCTCTCTCCTCCTACTCCTCCCCTTCTCCCTCCTCCCACCCCTCCCCACTCCTCTCCTCCGCCACCTGCAGGTACAGACTCCAGCCCCAGGCCCCACATGGGCTGTGCACCTCATCCTAGATACACGCAGACAGTGATAGCCCTGTTCCTGTGATGGACGATACTGTGGTGGGAGGGAGACAACTCTGCACCCACAGGGAGCGACAGAGGAGGTGGGATGTAATGCTGCTGAGGCCACCCCCTAAGGAGGCCCAGGGCCCCATACCTCAAAAAAGAAGCGCAGCATAAGGGCCAGTGCCCCAAAACAGAGGCCAGGGCCTATCTGCTGGGTGTAGACACTCTTGTCCGGGTACAGACTCTTCTTCTCCTTCATCTGCTGCAGCTGCGGGGAGAATGGTCATGCAGAGAGGTCACACAGTGGGCACTCTGTGCAGAGTTGGCTGGGGAGCTGGCCCTGGGCATGCACGCATACCTCGCTGTCCTCGGGCAGGAGATGGGGCTCAGGGAGATGCCAACACGCCCGGTCCCGCAGCTCTAGGACCCAAGGGAGCCCCAGCCTGGATGCCTGAGCAGGACACCCCTGGGCCAGTTTGCCTCATGAGGACCCCCCACCCCTGCCTGCCTCTTTGGGACAGAACAAGACTGCCCTTGCACCTGTACCTCTGCCCACCAGCAGGGACGCCCAGGGGACCAGACACAGCCCACCACAGGGTCCACAGGGCTACCCATGGGTTGGTCCACAAGAACCTTCAGCTGCTCCTGGATGATGACCTATCCTAGCACTTATGAGACAACCTGAGCAGCATGTGAACCTTTGCTTGCTCAGGTACCCATGTTAGTGGAAGGCTCTAGCAGGCGTGGATGAGTAAAAAGATGGGCTCAGGGATCTCTGAGGGCACAGCCAGTTGAGCCTCTGACTCTGGGTTTGGCTTAGGTCCTGAACTCATGGATTATGGGGTCAAACACTCAGGGGGGAGTCTGCATAAAGATTCTCTTCCCCTTGCCCCTCCCCCCACCCACTCGCTGGCTCACTATCTCTAAAATAAGTAAATAAATCTTAAAAAAAAAAATAAAAAATGGCTCCACATACACAGAAAACGTGCAGTAAATGTAGGTTCACCTCCTGGATTCCCAAAGCCCTGGGGCCAAGGTGTTTTGGGGGCACAGGACATTTAGGATGACAGCGACAGAACAGCTGTGTGCACCATGTGCCCTTAGGCCCCCATGGGCTGGGGCACTGACCCCCACCCCGGCTCAGAAACCCACCAGGTGGAGCACACAGAGACGGTGTATAGCCTCGTGCTGGGTCGGGGCTCGGCCACCGGAGTCTGGTGTCTAGTTTTCTGGAATTTGTTGTTGCCGATAAGACATCAGTACCTGCTCGGGCACTGTCAGCACATGGGTGCAGCTAGGGGGACCCCAGGGGCCCGGGGTCATGCCCTGCAGCCCCCACACCCACCTCTCTCTGCTTCTTCTCCCTGAGGCTACTGCTCCCCACCTCTGGCTCAAGAAGGGACGAGCCTCCGGGAGAAGAAAACCACCCTCATTCCAGGAAACAACTGCCCTTGGAAATCCAAAATAAACTCCATGTTAAATGGTCTGAAAAACACCATTTGAGCCCCAGATGCAGGGAGCCAGGCAGACCTCCTGGTTCCTGTGGCTGGATCCACAGCCCGGGGGCTGTGGAGCTTCCCAGGGACACCTGCAAGTGTCACCCCTTTGGGCTAATCACCATCCAACTTCAATTCAGACCTGCCAGGATCTGTGGGAGGAATGGACCCTCCAGCACAGACCAAGAGCCCACCCTACTTCCTGCCCGGGGAGGGGGGGGTGAGCGCATTATCGAAGCCCAGGGCTCTGTGTTTATGCATTCCAGCGTGTTCATTAACTGGTCCTTCCCTGGGGCCGGACACAGCAGACCCCACACGCCTCCTCGGCTCTCACAGGCAGCTCCAAGGGGCCTCTTGGGTCAGCCCCGGGCCAGCCCTGCGTCCCCAAGTTGGAGTGAGGAAGAGGCTCCTCTCCTTCCCTTTTCTTGAGAGAAGTCAAAGCCTGGCCTTGCCCGGTGCTGTGTGACCTCTCGTTGATTGTGACCTCTTGAGCCCTCCTTCCTTCACCAACAGAATGGCGACACAGATCCTTTACTCCCCGGCTGTAGAAGGAACAGGGCTTTCCTTTCCCTCCTGCAGCCATGCAATGGGATGATGGGCATGTTCTGTCCTACTGGCCCAGCCTGGCTCCTCTTCCCAGAGAACTGCCTTCCTGCTCCCCCAGGTGGCCTGGCTGCATCCCCATCCCCTGAGGTCCTACATCTTGGCCTTAATTTTGGGTCCTTGAGGGGTGTGTGGCTTGGGCAGGGTCAGACCACACCAGACTAAACCTGCTGCCAGAGCTTGGAGTTGGGACACCTCGAGATTCCAGGTGGGGCTCCAGAGGGACGAAAATGTGGCAGAGGGATGTCACCCTCGGGGCCCAGGCTGCTGCAGGGCTGGACAATGGGCCCCGCGTCAGGCCTGCCCGCAGCCCAGGACTCTGGTCTGGTCCTTGCAAGGCTCTGCGGCTTCCCTTCTGGGGAAGGAAATGGCCCTGGGTCCACACTGCTCTGGCATCTCTTGTCAGCTGGGGGAGTGTAAGTGGCTTTCAGGCCCCACAGCCAGGAGGGCCTTGATATAGGAGAGGATGCAGGGAGGCCTGGAGATCACATAAGGGCCTAGTGTGTGCCAGGCCCCAGGGGGCCCAGGGAAGAGACGCCAGTGTTGCAAACTTTGGCTCAGGCTGCCTCAGTGCTTTGGGGCAGTTCCATCGTCCTGCCCGCCGCACACCACAGCCTCCCTCCTCACCAGAACCAAACAAACTCAAGGCTCACGGCCTCCTTGAAGTCTTCCCAGATTAACCCAGGCCATTTCCAATTGCTTTTGCATCTCTGAAGCAGTCATTCTCTGCGAAGAATAATACCACTAGTAGTAATAGCTCCTAGGCATTGAGCACGTTAGAAGCTAGAAAGTTCTATACTAGTACTTTTAGGTGCATTAACTCAATCTTTGAACGAATCCTACGAGGTAGGGATTGGACTGTTCCTGTAACAGCCACTTTTCAGATATGGAAACTAGAAGCAGAGAAGTGGAGTCACTTGAGTTAGGTTCAGAGCTAGTGAGTAAGGACGATACGGGCCATGTAGGGGGGTGGGGGGCTGATGCTCATTGTCTCTGTTTTAGCTGCAGCCCTGAGATGGGAAGTAAAGGGAGTCCTGGAGGTGGAGGGGTCACAGGGTACAGCTGCCCCCGTCCACTGAGGCCCACATGGTACGCACCCACTTTGTGGCGATGATGAGGACAGCCGTGCCAATGGGGCCCGAGTACACCCCGTAGCCCCAGCGGTCATGGTAGATCCTCACGGCGATGGTCAGGACGCCAAACATCACAAAAGTCGACCTCTTGGGTTCGTCGAAGTCAGCCAGTGCTGGGGTGGGAGTGGGGGTAGGGGGAGAGGAACCGGGAGTGGTGAGTGGCCTCTCTGCCCCTCCAGCTACTGCTCCCCCAGAGGCATCCCTTAGGGGCCCCAGTGCGGGGCGCCCCCAGCCTGCGACAAAACCCCATGGCCCAGCCCGGTCCCCTGAGGTCTGAGTTCCGGCTGGCTTTAAAGGACAGACATGGACAGAGTGGCCCAGGCTGCATTTGTGGGAAGCTGCTTTCATGAGTGGGTCAACGTGCACCTGCCCTGGATCCCTGTGCCCAAGACAGAGACCCCTGGGCTGAAAACAGCCAGGTACGAGACAGGAATGATCTGGGTCCTTCCCAGGGCCTGGGCGAATAGCAGGGAGCCCTGTGCCGTGGGGACCAGGTGCCCTGGCATCGCCGCGAGATAGCGCTGAGGGAGAAAAAAGTTGCAGAAACAATGTGCTTCTGAGCAATTCCATCCTCGTAATCACCGAAGCTGACAGTGAGGTGCATGAATGCAGGTATGAGCCTCTAGAAACGTCTCAGGGGCAAACCCTGACAGGTGAGCAGTGGTCTCCTGGGAGACGGGACAGAGGGGAGCCCTTCCGCTGCTTCCTCCGTGTGGCTCCACCATGTGTGTGTCCAAATGAGCCTTCATGAAGGTGAACGCGGAGAGGGTCGCGAGGATGGGGATCAGGACACTTAGGGACCGGGCGTTCCTTTCCGTCCCTCGAAGCCCTCCTGGGCCCTTGAAGCCCAGGAGATGGGGGAGGTGCTCTAGATGGGGGATGGGGGGCGGAGTCGGGGGGACAGGGCTGTTTCAGGGAGCCGGCAGGTGGATGGTGGGGAAATGGAGGCCCGGGGCGCGGCCACTCACCCATCAGCGAGACCCACATGCTCAGTGCCGTCCCATAGACGCTGAAGTACTCCAGGACGTCGTGGCGCATGAAGCAGAGCACCGATAGCCCGGGCCCGTTGCATGCATGGTGGAGCTGCCAGACAAACCCACGGCCTCAGGGGATGGAGGGGATAGCACCCCAGCCATGGACTGGCACCCCAGCACCCCAGCCCTCGGCACCCCAGCCACAGTCCCGGCCAGCCCTGGCTGCCCACCAGCTGCGAGGCTCAAGCAGGGTCACTTCATGCCTCAGTTTCCCCACCTAAAGGACGGATGCGCTGCCCACTGCTGCCCTCCTGTGATCTTGTGGGGAATTAGAGGAAACAATCCACATGAGGTGCAGGGTGGGTGGAGGCACTGGGATGCCCTCTAATGTTCTCTGATGCGACCAAGCAGAGGCCAGGCATTACTCAGGTGAAACCTGCTGAGGTGGGGAGCCCTGCACATGCTGTCAACACCTGGGTTTGCCAACAACAGATGCGTGTGCATCCCTTCAATGCTTGCTGGTGTGAGTGGGGCCACGGCCTATCTTTAGGATGCCAGTCGGCTCTTCAGGGGCCTGCGGAGGCCTTTTTTTTCCCCAACTGCTGGCCCCTGTGGTGACTAGGGTACCCCCCCCCCCCCCGCAGAAGTCCTCAGACCTCAGTGGGCACCAAATCCCAGGCAGGGGCTGGGGCAGGGCAGGGGGCATGTGAAGACTCTGGGTTGCTGAGCCGGCCCTGACTTGCTAACTCAGCAGGTCTTGGGTGCAGTCAGGGATTTGCATTTTTAAGAGTTTCTCAGGCTGATGGGAAGCCTGGGGGGCTCAGCAGTTGAGCGTCTGCCTCTGCCTCAGGCCCAGGTCCTGGGATCAAGTCCTGCTTCGGGCTCCCTGTTGGGGAGTCTGATTCTCCCTCTGCCTGTGTCTCTGCCTCTCTCTGTGTCTCTCATGAATAAATAAATAAAATCTCAAAAAAAAAAAAAAAAGTTTCTCCCTGACATCTGATCTACTCACGATTTTTAAAGTGAAACGCCCCCTGAGGAGTATTCGCCAAGTGACCAGCCAATTCCCTCCCAGAAAACAGCAGCTCTCTCCTTACATGCACACGTTTCATCATCTCAAGTAATAATTTAATTACGGAGCATGATCATTTTGACAAGTTCCACAGGTGATGCACGAGCTTGGGAACCTTCACAATTGACTCTGGGTGAGCCTAGCTCAGCAGGTGGGGGGAGGCAAACAGGAGAGCAGCCCTGGTCTGGAGGACCAGGGGTGTTACAGGGGGAGCAGGAGCCCTGGAGCACCTGGCAAGTCAAGCAAGTAGGGGTGGATTTAGAGCTCCTACTGGTTACAATTACAGGTGACCCACAGTTTGGGTGCACCTAGGAGGCATGAATAGAGGTATAGTGTGCAGAACAAGAGAGGGGAGTGTCCTGCTTCTCTCTGTCCTGGATCAGACCCACCTAGAGAACTGTGTTGAACTCTGGAGGGCACACCACTTGAAGTGACACAGGCAAAGAGGATAGAGGAGAGCAACTAGGCTGTGGACAGGTCTGTTTAGCTGGGGAAACAGGAGCTTCAGGTGGGGCCTGATCAAGGTGCTCAAGGCTCTGTGGGATACAGTGGGGAGAAGGACACTTGCTCCGCACAGTTCTGGCAGGCAAGCCCTGTGAGTGACATAGATCTTGTCCTGCTACTTCCAGAACCACATCCCTGGCCCCACCTCCTGGCCCCAGCATCTGCTGCATTTGCACCTGCATCTCTCCTGTGTAGCACAGATCACCAAGTATAATCTCAGACTTAGTCACTCTGAGAGCTTTGGGAGTGTCCCGCCTGGGCCCGTTAAGAACAGGAGCATCCAGTCTCCATCTGGCCGTGTGAATGCCGGCTCAGGGAGGCAGGGTTTGCCTTTGGAGGACAGCTGACCCAGGAGGGGCTGCTCCCACCTTGGCTCATCTTGGCTGGACAGGTGGGGAAGCGGACATTCAGGGCAGCGCTGCCTGCCAGGGAGGCTGGGCAGAGTGGTGGTCAGTGCCCAGCCACTGTGTCTGTGAGGCCTGCCTCCTCTTCCTATGCAGGGGTGACCTGACCCTCCCAAGGGTGTTGGCAGGGCTGGAGGGCTGCCAGGGGCTGCTGAGAGACCACGCAGCCTCCAGGAGCCCACCTAATGGATCCTCGCTTTGTGAGCTGACTGCCTGGGGCCTCCCCTCCATCAGACAGGATGCTGTGGGGTGGGCCAGGGGACTCCACATGACAAAGCACATGGCACCATGTTCAGCACAGACACAGTGATTGTCATGGGAGGGTTGTGACCAGAGCACAGAAGAAGCCACGTGGGCGGCACAGGCTGCCATGGTGTTGCCTGGGGCTTGCGGGGAAAGCGGCTGAGTGTGGCTTTGAGGTCGGAGGACATTTGTCCTAGGAGGCAGCTGCCTCTGCCACTCCGGGCAGGCTAGGGTGGGACGGGGTGAGCCTCTGAGGTCAGGCTGGAGGCAGCTGGGGGCCAGCAGGGAGGGGTGGCCTGGCAGTGTCTGTGGCTCCCGGGGCCAGGTCTCACATGGGCCCGGCTCCTCCTCCCAGCCCCAAGCTCTCTGTACCCAAAGAGGGGTCCCCAGTCTGCTCTGTGCCTGGGCTTCTCATCTGTCAAATTGGCTTCCTGGAACTCACCCAGACAGGGCTCCCTTCTGGAACTAACGAAACGGCATCAGACAAGATGCCTTCAATGAGCCGAGAGCCAGGGCACATCCCGTATGGACCATGTGATTCGCCTTCTGTGGGACTCGGTTTCTTCATCTGTCAAATGGGCCTGTCATAATCCCAGGCTCATGAGGAGCTGAGAAGACTACATGAGACAGTGTATGCAGAGCACCCGGCACACCCCCACAGCCCGGGTGCTGGCTTGTGGCCAGCCCCACTGCAGCTAAGGTCCATCCTGTGCCCATGTGTGGAGGCTGAAGCCCTGGGCAGCCCCCAGCCGCAGGTCCCCTCGCTGCCTATGGGAGTGCCAGCCCACATGCACATGCAGCTTCTCCTGTTGCAGGTAAGCATGGGTGCGGCTAGCTAGGACATTGGCATGACAGGTGCACACACCTCTGCAAACACGTGTGTGCTCACAGACCTCAGTACCCAGAGCTGCCCCAAGGACCCTGATGCTCACCCGCAGAGGCCCTGCCGCTGGGGAGCCAGGCCAGCCGGCAGCAGGAGGCATGCAATTTTTCACATGTCTGACTCTGCTGCCAGGAGGGGTCTGGGGGAACACTTGCCCCCCTGGTCCTTGCTTCTCAAGGGGAGTTGGGCTCGGAGAGGGATGAGTCTGATGGGAGCGAGGGAGCGAGTCCAGCCGTGAGGGTGGGGGACTCAGAGGGACGCTGGTCGGCTCTGAGACACAGATGGGTGATGGGTGGAAGGATGGGTCATCAATTAGGAAGGTAGAGCGATGGTCGATTAGAGAGAGAGGTCCATAGGAGGGTGGGCAGACAGACAGACAAACAGAAGCTTAGGGTTGGGAGATACAGCCACAGACATATGGGGGGGCCAGGGGAACCAAGCCAGACAGGGAAAGACCAGCAGGGTTGGAACAAGGGCACGTTCTATGGAGACAGAGCTCCAGAGACCAAGAAAGACCTAGACACAGAGTGAAAGACAAAAAAAGGCAGATGCGGGGAAAGCCAGTAGAGGAAAACACAGGGGGAGAGAGACCCACAGGGAGGGGGAGAGAGAGGGAGACAGTCATCCAGGCATATAAACGGAGGAAGGACTCAGAGAGAGACAAGCAGACGTGAGCAGGCCCTCCTGAACTGGGGCCAGCTCCGGAATTCTGGAATCAGACTCACCCAGGCCCTACACATTCCCTAAACCCCACTAACCCCCTCTGGGGCCTGGCTTGGCCCTGTCCTCCCTGCTCAGCCGCCCTGTGCTTGTGGCTGGGACGGGGTGCAGGCGGTGGGCGGCACGGGTGGCCTGGGGTCTGCAGGCGGCAAGAGAGGGGGCGCCCTGGAAGCTGGAAGAGCTTGTCCCGGACTGACTCTGGCCCCTTGTGGGCTTGGTCTCGTGTATACTGATCCTGGAGTGACTTCCTGTCACAAATGGGGAAACTGAGTTCCAGAGGGGATGAGGAGGTCCCCTCACCCTCTCTCCCAGTCTCTGGGCTCTTGCTTTCGCCTCTAAATCACTTTTCTTCCTCACCAATATAGGAACGTGGTGTCTCTTCCGCCTTTGGGGAGCATGCCCCGTGTGGGTCCTCCCCGGGGCCCCAGACTTACTGCCACGAAGAACATGGTGAAGAGGTAGACCATGGCCTCCATGTGGAACCGCCGCTTGGCGGCGATGCTGACGGTGGGGAGGAAGGCCAGGCTGCTGAGGGTGGGCAGGAGCAGTTTCGCCGCGAGCGTCCCCATGGGCCAGGGAGGAAGGTGCTGGCTGGGGAGGACGGGAGGGTGCAGGCCTCCCCGGGGCCTCAGGGCAGAGAAAACCAAAGGGAGGGGCCTGCTCCTTTCAGTAGGGGCTGCGATGGCAGCTGTGGTCTGAACGCCCTGAAGGGAGGCCGGGATGGGAGCGCACATGTTGAGAGCACATGGACGGGGTCCAACAGCTGATGTGCCATGTGATCAACACTTGTCTCTGATTTTTTTTTTCCTGAGGCCAGAGTTGTTGACTCAAGGAGACCCTGCTTCTTTTCTTTGAGGCAACAACTTTGGAGTAAAGTCCCGGTGTGCATAAGCCTTAGCTTCTAGCCTCTTTCCTTCCTGGTCCCCTCCCTGGGGCACTCCTGGTCCACTCCCGGGGAGCCCCTGGTCCTCTTCCCGGGGTGTTCCTGGTCCCCTCCCTGGGGTGCCCCTGGTCCTCTCCCTGAGGAGCCCTGGGTCCCCTTCCCAGAGAGCTCCTTGTCCCCTCCCCAGGGCACTCCTGGCCCTCTCCCGGGGGCGCCCCTAGTCCCCTCCCTGGGGTGTTCCTGGTCCCCTCCCCGGGACGCCCCAGTCCTCTCCCCAGGACACTCGGGAGCCCAAATTGAGCCCATCAGCAGCCTCTGCTGCTCGGGTCATGTGTCCACTGACAGCCAGGGGTGAGAGAACCCAAGGTTTAGTCAATTCTAATCACTAAAGGACCTTGCAGACGAGCATCATGTTTTACCAGCCCACACCCATGTCCCGTTTGCCTGTGCTCCCCCTCATTGGCTTCCTCTGCAACCGGACTAGTGAAATGGCCTTTTCTACTTGGTTACATTGTTTTGCACCTGTAGTAAGCAGCAGGATGAACTTGAAAGTGCTCCCAGGATAAGGCAGAGACCTACCTTCTCCAGCATCCCTCCTCTGGCCCTTGGGAAATGACCTTCCCTTGTCCTAGGAGGTCTCAGGGGAGCCATCTGGCAGGTGCCCCCTCAATGGCCCAGGAATGACGGGAGTGGTGAGCTAGGCGGGCAGACTCTCTCTGGCCTGATGGCCTGCTTGTTTCTTGATTGATTGATTTGTTGTCGGCCAAAGAACAGCCTTTACTTCCATCGATTTTTCCAACCTGATACAGTTTGCATGTGACAAAAGTGCACGGATCTGAGTACAGTTTGATGCATTCTGATGAGTGTGTACAGCTTGTGTGGCCACCGTGTATCCCCACCACCCCAGGGTGACCTCGTGCCCTTTGGACTGTAAGCAGGCAATGCTCTGGCTTCATCTGCATGCCTGACTGTGCCTGTTTCTAGAATTCCTCACAGATGAGACCATGCATTATGCAGGCTGTGGGGTCTGACTTCTTTTGCTCCACCAATAAGCGAGTGGTATTCTCCTGTGTGGATGTGCTACACTGGAGTGTGGAGTGTGATCGCCCAGTGACAGCAGGAGCCCCTGGTGCTGCTGACCCATCTCAGTGTCCCCACTCTGGGCTTCCGAGGCCTGCCTGCACCTCCTTTCCTTCCATAGGGGAGCAACCAGACCCCCTTCCCATAGATCTTGTTTTTGTCTTCAGCTGCCTGGACCCCAATCTCTGCCATTTGCAGCGAGGCCTTTGGTCATGCCATTTTTCTGCTTTCATGACTTCCAAGGCACCTGCATCCTTGGGGTGAAGCGCAAGTGTTGAGGAGACCACCGGGCACACCCACCATACCCCTGGGTCTCTGCCATCTCCCCAGACCCTGTCTCTCCTCCTAGCCCCCCACCTCCCCTGCAAGAATGTGCTTCCTCCCCCTCCTCTTTCTGGTTGCTGGCTAAACAGCACCGTCTTGGGGAAGGCTGCCCCCCAGCCTGGCGCCCAGGCAAGCCGAGGTGCTCCTCCTTGGGCCCAAGCCTGGCACTCGGTAGGTGTTCAACAAACACTGGCTGAATGAATGGCTTTGTTCAAGGAATGAATGAAAGTCCAAGGAGGCTAGGCTCCTGCACATTGCAGTCTGGCACTTAGGAGGCCCCTTCCTTCTCCAAATGGGAAAACCAGATCCTGCTGTGTGGGCAGCTCTAGGCAGGGCAGGAGGCAGGCGACCCCATGTGGGCTGTCACGCAGGCCGGCTCTCCCTGCCCACCTCTCCAGCCCTTGGCTCCTACTCGCACCCAGCCACCAGCCCCAGCTCCCAGGGGGAATACATACCCTGTGGTGTGGAAATGCAAGGAGATGTCAGGTGCTCAGAGAACTCTCTGGAGCCATCAACCCTGCTCAGAAGCAGGAAAACATTCCACAGTTGGTTTTGTGCATGAGTGTGTGTGTGTTTTCTTTGCAGCTGTAAACTCCAGGGCCAGGGCTGTAAGCTTGGGGAAGGGAAAAAGAGAAGGGGGAGGTGTTGGAGGAACGCAAGGGTGGGGTTTGCTGTACATGTGTTGCAGTGATTAAGGCAGAAGGGGGCCGAGGGGGGCTGCCCCCAAGGGGGAAGACAGGTGACCAGGCCTGGGGCAGCCTGAGGAGCCCCTGCAAACCGGCAGGAAGTCCAAGTAGAGCAGAGAGGTGGGGGCGGCCCGCATGTGGCTCCCCTCCGAGACCCAGCCGCCTGGAGACCGACCAGCTGGCTCGGGGGAAGGCGTCCAGCTCTGAACAGGACTGAAATGACCCTCAGCTCTCCCTGCAGCCGGGGAAGCCACAGGCCTGGGGGCTGGGGAGGGGGAGGCAGAGTGGGGGACACTGGCTAGCTGCTTTGAGGGTGGTGTCGCCCTGGGCGGTGTGCGGGCTGGGACGGGGCTGGGCTGGGAGCCCACTCAGCCTGGGGAAGACTCAACCGGGGGCCTGAGTTGTGGGTGTGCAACCTGTCCCCATCCTCCCTACTGTCCTGTGGCCTCTGCCTGCCAGCCTGCCATGGTCACCCCCTGCCCTGCCACCTGCTCATGCTCGGGCCGCACCCGAGCCCACAGGCCGCACACCCTCTTTCTGCCCGGACATCGTCATGGCTTGGGTCTTCCCTATTCGTACTGTAGCCCTCAGCCTCCCCTGACCCCCACCGGGGTGCAGTCTCTCCCTTCTAACCCCCCGCCCCTCCCACACTGTATGCATCTTGAAAACTGCTCGTACATACAGACGCTGCTTCAGCGCCGGCCATGTGTAGGGCTCTGTGCCAAGCACTCTTCCTACTTTGTCCTGTCGGGTCCCGTCAGCAGCTGGGGCGGGGGCGGGGGCGCTGTCTCTGCTGCCCCTATATCACAGGGCAGGAGACTGAGGCCCAGAGAGGAGCAGGGCCTGGCTTCTGGCACATGCTCCTGTCACCGAATGTCCCAGGATGGCCTGGCCTCCCTGCCCAGCCCCAGGCAGCATCCCCCCTCCACCCAGCAGATGGCGCCGGCCCCAGGGGGACCCTGTGGAGGTAGTGGTGGGGTGGCTGCAAGGGGAGCCCACTGCCCGCACCCCCTTCCCTCGCCCCCTTTGCTGCTGTGGAGAAGGGCCGGTTTTATAGAGGTGCTGAAATGCCTGGAATGCCACACAGCTCCCGCCTCCCGGACAGCTGTCTGTCTGCTTGGTCGGGCCCAGAGAGCCGAGCCAGCTGCTGCGCCTGCGTCCTCCAAGTTGGGAATACCCGGCCCACAGCTCTCGGGCGCCCCAGAGCACAGCAGCTCTTGCACCTCGGCTCTTTGAGCAGGGCCCACTGAGGCACCCCTGCCCCTGGCGGGAGGGGGTCTGGGCTTTGACACTTTCCAGCTCGTCCCTCGGGGGCCTCCCTGCCCCCCCCGAACGCCAGGCAGGGCGTCTGCTCTGGGCACATGTCTATATGTGTCTACAGTGGAGCTTGTGATAGCCATCCTGTGTTGTCCTCAGCTGCGGGCTGAGAATTAGCAGCCTCTCTGAGCACCTGCCAGGAGAGCCTAGCCGGGGCCTCCGCCCGTGCCCCACGGGGTTGCCGGAATGCTGATGAGCGTGTGGCGCTCTGAGCAGTAGCCTGTCCATCTGTCTGGCCCTGGGGCTTTGTGTCCCTGGAGCTCCAGTGGCAAGCTCACTTCCTGGCCATGGCAAGGCTTCTCGGGCCCCTGACCTTCTTCTGTATTTGGGTGGAAAGGAGCCTCTTGTGGAATCTGAGAACCAGAGAAGCCCACACGCTTCCTGGGTGCCCCTGCTTGAACTTTCAAGCCTTGGCCTAACAGAGGATGCCAGTGCTCCTGGCTGAGAAAGGACGAGGAAACAGAGAAGCCCATGTTTTGGTCCAGACTCCCACCTGCTGACCCCAGTGGTCCAGACTCCCACCTGCTGACCCCCAGTGGTCCAGACTCCCACCTCCCATTTCTCCCAGTGGTCCACAAGAGGAAGCTCTTCCCGAGTGTTCAGCCCCAGGGCCCAGGGCAGAGAAAGCTGTCCTCTGGGGCCAGTCCTCTTCTGGGTCTGGCCATTCACCTCCAAGCTGGCCAGATGGCCCCTCGGTGGCCCTCGGTGGCCCAGTGCCTGCTGGGTGGGAAAGCTCAGAAGGTACCTGGCACACCCTGGGCCCTGGACAGAGAGCAGACAGGAGGACAGGCAGAACACTGGGGAAGATGGTGCAGGTGGGCCACCCTCGAGACTGTGTCGGCTGGCCTCTGGGTGCCAGGGGCGAGGAGCCACCTCACACAGGCTTCTTCCCTCTACAGGACAGCACCCGGCTCCCAGGGAGACTGTTCCCCCGCCAGCACCCCACACCCCTCCCGGGCCCTGGATCTATTCTTTGCCCTGAGCCGCCTGTTCCTTGCTCTTCCGCCTGCTTTCCCAGGCCCTTGCCCAGCATCCGGTAGAAATGGGCCTCTTCTCCTGTTTCCAAGCGTCTCCCCAGAGATCCAGAAGGCTCTGGTGGAAAGACAGTCTCCTTCTAAAACACAGGTGTCTCCGGCACCCCTGTCCTGGGCAGGGCCCCAGGCAGCAAACTGTGTGGGTGGTGGGTGGGGACGCTGTCTGTGGCAAAGGGCTGGGTGGTGTCAGCAGGCCAGCAGGCAGCTCTGCCTCAGGACAGTGGAGGACTCCCACAGGACAAGGAGGTCCTGGCTTCAGGAGCTGCCACATAAGCCCACCCCTTTATTTATTGAGCACCTACTTACGCACAGGGCCCCACAGAGTGGCAGTGTGAACGAGGAGCAGCCCCTGCTCTGTGGGGTCTTAGCTACCAGTCAGGAAAGATCATTCTGGCCAACGTGGGAAGTCTCAACGAAGTGCTGGGGCAGAAGATCATTGTGGGGCGTTGAGCATGTCCAGACGGGTACAAAAGAAGGGCCCTGAGAGTGGGGACCAGGACCTGAGGTGGGGGCTTGGAATCACTTCTTGCAGTGACTCTCTGGGGAGCCCAGACACAGTTGGAATCACAGGAGGGACGGAGGAGGCAGTGACTCCGCTAGGTGATTGTGGGGCTGGGTGCCAAGTGGAGGGACCTTTGCTCAAAATGCGGGATGGGGTTTTTCTTCCCTCTGCAGATTCTCTGGCCTGATGGTGCTATTTTTTTATTCGAGGTTTAGTACCATGTTCCTTTGGGTGCAAGGATACTCCTGGGATGAGCGCTCACTCTTACATGTAGCCAGGCCCCCACCCTGAGACTCAGCCTCACCCCAGCCCCTTGGTGTGCAGAGGGCGGCTGTGGTTGCTGGGTCAGGGCTGGGGGGGCAGGGTGGGTGGTCAAGAAGAACCTGGGAGGTGGAGAGAGGCAGATGGTGCGTGAGCCGAGGCCCCATCGCCCCATCCGGTGTCACTTCCAGAACACGGACTCCAAGGTGACATTGTTCAGACTTTCACACGGTGACGGCAGAGCCTCGACCCCAAACGCGGGTCCCTTGTGAGCACGGGCTGGGCTGCGGTCCTGGTTCTGTGTGGTGCAGCCGGCTGGAAGTCTCCTCCTTTGGGCTCCTGCTCCCAGAGCCTGGCCGGGACCCTGTGAGGTGGGTCCTGGGGCACTCGAGGTCGGCTGGCCCAGGAGCTCTACCCTTTCCAGTTCCACACTCAGAGCACCATGAGGCCTTCAGGGAGGTGCTTCCCGCCTATGCTTTATTCATTCTTCACCCCTCCCCAAATTCCTAGGGTCTCTGGGGCCCCCAGAATCTTCCCTGGCTCTTAGGGTCCCCCCCCCCGACATCCCCACGCCACCAGCAGATCAAGCAGCAGCTGCAGCTCTCCTTGAGTCTGGAGCCTGGGGGCTCAGTGAGGTCACGAAGGAGAGAGCCTTGGCAGGTTCCTTGAGGTCGAGGGGGGGTGGGGTGGAAGTGTGGGGGGCCCTGGGTCACACACCTGCAGGAGGTCACGAAGCTGGGGCGGGGAGAGGGGGGGTGGCAGGCCTGGCTCCCAGGCCCTGTCCTTACCGGCTAAGAGAAGGCGCAGGGGGTGTTTATGTCGGTTGGCTCTGGGGTCCCTCCCAAGGGAAACCATTAGTCACCCTGGCGCTGACTGGATGCAGAGCCAGAAATGCCAGGAGTTTGGGGACCGTGCCAGGGGGTGCAGGGCCCTGGCGCTTGGCTGCAGGGGAGGGGATGGTGGCTGAGGCCTCGAGCAAGCACTGGTGTGGTCTGTCACATGTCCATGAGGGGCCAGGGGCTGCGGTGGGGGGCAGGTGACAGGCCCTGCTGTGTCTGTGCTTCTGTGCACCGACCGCAGGGGACAGTGTGGACCTGGGTTCAAGTCTCAATTGCACTGACTATCCCAGCAGCTCGGAGGGGAGCTGAGGTGAACAAGACCCGCCTCTCTCTGATGCTCTGGGGAGCACACACACCTCCTAAGAACCCCACAGATGGAGAGGATATGGTCTGTAAGAGTGGTGGGGTCCCCAGTGTACCACCAACCGGACATGTGACCCGGGCTGTCACTCAATAGTCTCGGAGCCTCAGCCTCTCCATGTGCAAACCAGGGGTGGTAAGGTTGTTGGCCTCGGAGCTCTTGGTGCACAGGTAGGGCAGTGCACGGGGTAGGAGGTGGTGTGGTTTTATGCGTGTTCCTTCTCAGCTCTTCCTGTTGGTGGCCAGATGTAGATCAGAACTTCCCGGGGGGCTGGAATGGCACAACACAGCCAAAGGGGCTCAGCACACGGTCCTGCCCCAGGGAGGACAGAGGCGAGAAGGAGGGTTTTCCAGCTGCTGCTCTGGGCCTATGACACCTGTATAGCAGAGGGGGCGGTGCTCAGATGGCCTTACACGCTGCTTTCGCCCCCACTCTGTGCTCCAGGCAGGGGGCTCGGGGCAGGGGGCTGCTGATGCATAAGGGGAGGGTGCCGGACCTTGCTGCGGTGTACGGCTCGCCAGGACTGGGGTCTGCTGGGCTCCTGGGCAGCTAGAGCGCGTGCTGCTTGCTCCGTCCTCGGCTCCGTCCTCGGCTCCACGCTCTGACTCAGCAGGAACACAGGCCCGGAGCACCACGTCTGGCCCGCCTGGGGCTGCCCAACTGGCCTGGGCCCAGCCAGGCCGCTGTGCCCTGCCAAGCTGGTGCTGAACATCTGCGCAGAGTTCCCCATGTGCCCCCCCCTGCTCCCACAGGCCGTGGCCACTCTGGCTGTCTGGTCAGTAAGCCATGGGCACTTCTGTGCCTTCCCTGGAGCCCCAGGCTGAGCCCTCACTGGATCTCCCTTCATGCCTCCACCTGTGGAGGAATTGGCCTCTCAGGAGAACCTTTCTGAGGCCTCCTGGGTGACCCAGATGTCACCTTTCCCATCTGTGAAATGGGGCGATCAGATTGGACATGGCACATGGCCCGGGACTCCATTCTCGGGTGGGCCAGAGACTGGGGGGTGCCCTTCTTGAGGCAGAAATCGGGCAGGCCTGGGCTGGGGCCTTGGCACCCCCAGTCTCCGCTGTGACCCCAGGCCCACAGCTGCTCTGTCTGGACACCCCAGCACACAGCTCCCGGCGTGAGACCCGGGAAGGCGGCCTCCCCGCTTGTAGCTCTGGGCCGCCGCCGAGGCAGCAGTCAGCAGGCAGCTGGCCGGCCTGGCCGGGCTCCAGAGGCGCGGAGCGGGTTAAAGTGTGCGCCAGGCCGGCCGCGGCGGGCGGGGGAGCAGCCTGGTGGGAAGTGTGAGTTCCTCCCTGTCTGCCTGACAGCTATAAAGGCCGCCCCGCTGCAGAGCCGCCACTGGGCTGCGCGCCTCCCTGGGAACCCCCTCTCGTGGGTGCTCTTTGAAGTGGAGGAGGGAGGCGGCGACGGGGAGGAGGAGGAGGAGGAGGAGGAAGGGAGTGAGGCCGAGCCCTCGGCTCCCTGCACTCTGAGCCTCCCCCTGCTCCGAGCACCTGGCGCTGCCTGCCCACAGCAGCTCTGCCCCCTTCCCCAGGAGGACAACCTGCTGACCCCGGGGCCAGGTAGGCCGCCCCGACCTTCCCACCTCCCACCACAGCCCTCCCCGGGCATGGGGTCAGCTCGGCGTGGGCCGGCAGGGGGGGGGGGCGCAGAGCATCCCCCGGCCCCCTCGGGGGAGCTGTTACATAACAGGAGGAGGGCTCCCAGGGAGGGGTCTCGCCGGGCAGAGCACGGCGAGGGTGGCCCCTCAGCCCCCAGCCTCGGGCGCCTGAAGCTCTTAGCGAGGCGAGCCTCTCCTGCTGGCCGGTGTCTGTTTTTGGACCCCAGGGAGGGATGGATCCCGCGTGAGCCGGACCTGGCCCATGGCCAGCGGTGTCTGGGAGTCTTAATGAAAACCAAGTGTGGGGCCGGCTCAGCACCTGTCTTTAGCCCGGCAGGCAGGAGCTGGGGCACCGATTAGCCAATGGGACCGCTGAGGGGGGCTCCAGGCTTGTGTGAAGCTGGTGGGGGCTGCAGATGGGGGCCCACGGGGGAGGGGTGGCAGACGGGGCGGGAGGTGGCAGCAGGCGGCTGGCAAGGTGGGGGTCTCAAGGACGCTGGCTCCAAACTCGAACTGAGGGTCCTGCTGCCTCGTCCTGGCACAGACATTCTGAAGACGAGTGGAAGTTGCTGGCACAGCTCCTGGAGATCTGCAGGTGCTTGACCTGCAAGGGCTGATGGAGGGGACAGGGGGCAGATTTGGAGGTGGCCTGGGGCTGGCGGGCCTGGCGGGCAGGGGTGGGGGACCTTCACACCTCCTTCCTTGGAATTAGCTGGGCCTACATTTCCTTGGGTCTGGCAACTACTCAGGCCACTTTGCTGTGTGGCTTGGGGCAAGTTGGCTTCCTCCTCTCGTGCCTGACCACTGGGGGACGGGCTGGGTGGCTTCTGAAGCCCCTTCTTGTGCCTTGCTGGCAGGTGACACTCCAGACATGAGACAAGTCCTGGACAGAGGCTTGCTGGGGCCCCCGTGCCTCCCTTCTAGGAGGCAGGCGTCCACACAGGGAAAGCAGATGGGCAAGGCTGAGAGGCCAGGAGGCTGGAGGGTCCCCTTGATCTGACCCCTGGTGGCTGGGGGGTGGTGACAGTGCCCGTGCATTGGGACACAGCCCTGCAGCCCCTGGCTGCCCCCTGGCTCCACACTCTGGGGGCATGAGCTGTGCATCTTGGTTGGGGTGTGAGAGGCCCAGACGCTCAGCTCCCTCAAGGGCAGGGGTAGCGGTGGCCAGGGTGGGGAAGGGCCTGGCAGAGTGGGTGGTGTCCGCGGCCCTTCCAGCAGCCCCACATGGCTGTCAGGGTATCACTCTTCCACGTGGGTGGCAAGCGCCCAGCAGTGAGAATCCCCAGGAGCTCTTGCTCTGACCAGTTCACCCGCTAAGGTGGTAGCCCGAGCTCTGGTGCTTGGCTCCTTCACCTGATGGGTGTGGCCGGGGCCCGCAGCTAGATTCCTCCACAGGCACTCACTCCCTGGGCAGCTTGGTGGTCGGGGCGAGCACCCCTCCCCGTCCTTAGGTGGGGGTGGGTGGGGAAGACAAGGCTCAGCAAACACACCACCACCTGTGGCTCTCGTGCCCATGGCAGGCATCTCTAATCACTCACCGAACTCTCCCATGGGACCACCAAGCAGCCACTAACCATCAATCCCAGATAGCCCCAAGGGCTCTTCCCTAAAGTGGACCCTCGTCGGCTGTCAGAGGAGCTGGGCTTGGCCTCGCAGCAACAGCGGCCTTGCTTCCTAGGATGGATGGTCAACGGCAGCCTTCGCGCTGGGTCTGGGCCCTGCTGGCGGTGGTACTTCTGGCGGGGGATGTGGCATCTACTGGGGCCACGGTGAGTGGGGAGCAGGGTCCCTCACTCAGAGGGGGTGAGGTCGGAGGGGGTGTGGCAGGTGCAGGGCACGTGTCCAGGGAGCCCCGCATGCATTCCCAGGGCCCCGCTCAGGTCCCAGGAGCATGTCTCACAAGCCAGTCCGACCGGCCCCTACGCGGGGACCCTGGCCACTCCAGATCCCTTGCTGACATGCAGGATGAGGTCCGAAGGGCCTGAGTACCCCCTTCTGAGCAAAGGCCTAGAGTGAGGGGTGTGGGTGGTTCTGTAGGACCCAGGACCCAGGCTGCTTGGGAGCAAGGACGTTTAGGTGCAGCCTCAGGCACCCCCTCTTGCCCCCAGAATGCTCCAGATCTCAAGGTTGGGAGGACCCAAGGCCCACGAATTCTGGGGAGCTCCCTCCAAGACCACCCTGGAGATCTGGACCAGGGTGTGGAGCAACCCAGCCGGCAAGCATCCATGGGCTGTGTCCTTCTGACCAGGGCACAGGGGTGGCAGGCCAGTCCTTCCCCAGGGCTCAGCCTTCTTCCAACCCATCTGTGGGGACTTTCACCCAGGACAACAGCCCAACCTCCAACAGCCTGGAGGGGGGCACTGACGCCACTGCCTACTGGTGGGGAGAGTGGACCAAGTGGACGGCGTGCTCCCGCAGCTGTGGGGCCGGGGTGACATCCCAGGAGCGGCACTGCCTGCAGCAGAGGTGCGGGCCTGGGGCAGCAGGTGATGGGGTGAGGGGGGTTCCAGGCTGGGAGAGGTCTTCCTTTGGAGGCAGGACAGGCCAGGTGAGCGACAGTCTTTTCACTGGCCTGTCAGGGCCAAGGTTCCTGATGGGTCCTGGGTGATGGCGACCTGGGTTTCATCCTGCTCCAGGGTGCTGGGGACAGCTCTTTCATGAGAGACCAGGATCCCTTTTTCTTTCTTTCTTTCTTTCTTTCTTTCTTTCTTTCTTTCTTTCTTTCTTTCTTTCTTTCAACAAGCCCTAGACCCAATGTGGGGTTTGAACACATGACCCTGAGATCCAGAGTGGTGTGCTCTACTGACTGAGCCAGCCAGGTGCCCTTTCTTGGGATTTTTTCAATGAAGGGTGAGGTCCTCCCTGGCCTTCTCTTCTGAGGACTTGAGTTGAATAAACACGGAGAAAAACATGATACAGTGGTTACCATTGGACACACCTGGGTTCAAGTCTTGCCTCTGTTGCTCCCTAGCAGTGTGACCTTGGGCAAGCCACTGAATTTCTCAGAACATAGTTTCCTCAGCTGTGGAGTAGAGATGAGGCTGACCTGCCAGTTTGGGGCTGGGACATAGTAAATGTTGTTGGTATCTGTGTATAAAGACCCTGTGCCTTGTGCCAGGGATACAGAGGTGAATTGGATATCTTCCCTCCCCTGGGCTGTGGTGGAGCAGTGGGGGTCAGGAGAATTTTTTCAGGAGGTCAGGAGGGGGGCTTCTGGGGACCCCAGAGGCCATTTGGAGGAGGAACATGGTTGGTGCCTGCAGCTTGTGGCTCCCACCCCCAGCCCAGCCCTTGTCTTCCCACAGGAGGACATCTGTCATGGGTGCTGGGAACAGGACCTGCACAGGCACGTCCAAGCGGTACCAGCTGTGCAGAGTGCAGGTGAGGCCCCACCGGGGGGGGGATGGCAAGCCTTCCCCCAAGCTCTGAGGGATCTTTTTGGGGCCTCCCAGGCCTTCCAGACACTCTGTCCTGGGCCTCCCCCTTATTTCCTGTTGAAGAGAGGATGGTGAGGGGTCCTGGGCTCAGAGCTCCCCTTATGCCTCAGATCAGATCTGTCCTGCCCTCATCGCCCCCCTCCCCCATGTGTGCCACACATGCAGGGGTAAGGACTTGCCTTTATAGCCTCAAGGTGTGAGAACTCTGGCTGCAGCCCCTCTGCTCACAAGTCCTGTGCCAGATGCTCACTGGAACATTGACAGTCACCAGGCATTCCCGTCCCCACTTGTGAGAAGTCCCACTGTGGCCCACTCCAGCTCCCCAGGCACTGGTACCCCCAGCCCCGGCAGGATGGGGCAGCAGACAGTGGCTCTAGCTCTCAATGGGGCCCAGGCCAGTCTGCACCCTGACTTCCAGGCGTGGGACAGAAAGACAGCCAGCCACTGGGGTCTTTATGTCCCTGTGACCCTGCGCCCACGTGGCTATGTCTCTGCGCACGCACAGGGAGTTAGGGCCTGTGTTGGCGTCACTGGATGCTAGTGAGCCCGGGAGGGAGACGTAGTGAGGTTATGGCCCAGCGTGACCAGCTGTGCCCCACTGCCAGGCCTCTCCCCTCCACCCCAGGGGTCCCTCTTCTATGAACTCAAGCCCACCTTCAGTCAATGGGCTGTGTTCCAGACACACGCACAGGTGGGCCTCGGCCCAAGGATGCAGGATGAGCACCGCTGAGGCTGGGTGCCCCCTTCTCTGCCCCCTAGTATGTCTGGGGAGAAGGCTGGGCTGGAGGCAGTATGAAAGGATCCTGCCTGGGACCCAAGGATGGCCAGTGCATGGAGGTCCTTGAGGGATGATAGCTGCCCTTCTGCATGTCCTTGCTCCTTCCAGAGAGCGAGTGGCCCTCAGGGAGAGCGAGAGGCTGCCGCATGGGCCCCGGCCGGGCCATCCCGGCTGCAGCCACTTCCTGCTCAGCCTGGACAAAAATGCCTTTGTCGGGCCGAGTTCCCCTGGAACCTCCCATCTCTCGCCCCGCAGGAGTGTCCGCCGGACGGGAGGAGCTTCCGCGAGGAGCAGTGCATCTCCTTCAACTCCCGCGTGTATGACGGGCGGACACACCAGTGGAAGCCCCTGTACCCTGGTACCAGGCCCTGGGCCACCCTGCGGGGAATCAGAGAGCAGTGGGGGGCCCTCCACACCCTGGAAAGACCCTCGCCCGGCAGCTCCCTCCTGGGGGCAGTGGGAGGGAACGTCCTCGCCCAGGGTGGGCAGGCGGGGAGGCGAAGCCCAGAGGGATGGGTCTTGTCCAAGGTCATAGGCAACAGGGATGGTGAGCTGGTCTCTCCCACTCATGGAGTAAGTGCTGGGGTGCCCAGGACCCATAGCCCAGGGCTGGCAGTTGGCTCAGACCTGCTAAGGAGGGGGAGCTGCCCCGTCCTCACAAGGAGGCAGGGGCTGGACCTCACAGAGCCCAGGCTGGGCCAGATCACTAGCATCTTGTTTTTTTTTATTTTTTATTTTTTTTGCCACTGAGACCCTGGGCAAGTCCTTTGCATGCTCCAGGCCTCGGTGTTCCTATCTGTGCGATGGGCACAGGAACTCTCCCCCACCCCCCACCCTGAGACGGCTCTGTCTCCCCATCAGACGACTATGTCCACATCTCCAGCAAGCCATGTGACCTGCACTGCACCACTGTGGACGGTCAGCGGCAGCTCATGGTCCCCGCCCGCGACGGCACGTCCTGCAAGCTCACCGACCTGCGAGGGGTTTGCGTGTCTGGAAAATGTGAGGTTGTTAAACATTGTAGCAAAAGTCCCACTGGTCTCATTGCACCGACCGCCCCGCCTGTCCACATGTGACAGCGGCGGCCCCCAGGGCCCGGGCCTCAGCGCCCTCCCAGCGGCCCTCTCTGCCTCCCTTCCTGCAGCCCATCGGCTGTGACGGGGTGCTCTTCTCCACCCACACGCTGGACAAGTGTGGCGTCTGCCAGGGGGACGGTAGCAGCTGCACCCATGTGACGGGCAACTATCGCAAAGGGAATGCCCACCTTGGTAAGAGCCCCCTGCGCCCCTCACCCAGGGCCCTGGCAGCTGAGTGCCTCCGTGCGAGATCCGTTCCCTCTCAGGGCCCCCCGTCCTCCTCCCCGTGCCCAGGTGGGCCAGCCAGAGGTTCTGGAGGACCCCCTTTGGCTAGGGGATCATGTCTGACCTTTGCAGCAGCACCCAAAACGGGGAAATAGAGGCACAGGTCCCATCCCCACAGCTGATGTGAGATTTGAGTCTGGGCTTGAGGATTCTGGGGCCTAAGCCCTTGAACCTGAGTCTCAGAGGGCTGAAGGGGCACAGTGGCCAATGCCAGTGCAGAGCTAGTCCCTCCCTTCCTGGGGCAGCGGCATGTCCGTCCACCCAGTGTGCCCGTTTGGCCTGGCTCAGCTAGGGCTGGTGGGGTGTGGTGGGCAGGTAGGGGGTCTGAGCACCCGGCCGGACTTTGCACTCTAGCACTTGGTGTCCAACTGCCTGCATTTCTGGGTCTCCGTAAATCCAACGTGGATTAGCACAGCCCTCAGACTGCGGAAGACAGGGCACTTGAAACCCACAAGGCAGATGGGGAAACCGAGGCCCACCGTGGGATTTCCTGCTCAAGGTTCCCGAGGGAGGCTGGGCATGCCTGGACTCATGGGAGCCACCCGGGATCCAGCTGTCGGGACCCTGGCCGTGTCCTGGAGGTCCCACCCCTGACAGGAGGGGTAATTTAGGAGTTAATGATAGGGCGTGGACGTGGGACCCAGGGATGGACATCCTGGACTGAGCAGGGAGTGTCTGAGACCAAGGGCCCAGGGCAGAGCTGCCCAGGGGGCCTGAAGAACACATGGCTAGCGAGGCAGGGAGGCCAGATCCGGGGGCCTCTCTCTCTGAGCGGCCATGTGCTGTGTTCTGTGGGCTGCACTCAGGCCCCGGAGATGAGGTTCGTGCCCCATGGAACAACCCCTGGGGTGCTGGGGCTGACATTTCCCAGCCTACCTACATTGCCACATCCTTTCTGCATGCGGGGCCAAGGCTTTCACGCCTCAGAACATTGCCGGGCAGATATAGTCACGCGCACCATGTGGTGGGTGTGGAAACAGGGAGGTGAAGACAGGAGTGGGAGGCCAAGCAGCCAGAGGTGGCCGAGGTGGCCAAGCAGGCTCTGGACCCAGACAGCTTGGCTCCGGGCTCTGTGGTCCTAAGCACCGAGCCACACTCGTCCCTGATACACGTGTGCATGCTCACCATGGCGCCAGCCCTGCTCTGTGCAAGAGCTGTTATCAAATGCACAGCAATCTCGTGAGCCAGTTGCGAATTTAAACATGGATGTATTTAAACCTGCACATAGATAAACGACAGTTATGCCGAGTCCTCATTTCCTGCCTGCTTGGCTGCTACTTGTACTGCGGGTGTGCGGCAGAGACACCACCGTGGAGGCAGGCGGGCCCCATGCACCTCTCTCCCCACCTCCCCTCTGCCCCCCTCTGCACCCAGTGTGGCACGCTGGGAGCCTAAGCTCTGCCATTGTGGGGGGCTGACACCCCACGTGAATGCCCCCCAGGCCCCCGCAAAGAGCCTCTTAGCACCCTCTGGCTGGGACGACGAGCTCAGAGCCTTCCTTTGGGGACCTGCAATGCAGCAGGCAGGGTTGGCCTGTAGAGCTGCTCACCCGCGGGCAGGCGCCCAAGGACTCTGCAATGGGTGTCCCCGCCTGCCCCCCCCCCCGTCCCCCAGCAAACCTGATTTCAGAAAGCACTGTCACCATTCTCTCCTGGGAGACTTTTCCATCTTAGGGCTTTTAAAACCTCTCTTCCTCCTCCTCAGACCACCCTCTACCTGCTGCTGGTAGCATCTGTCCCTTTGTCAGAGGTCTGCCCCCTAGACCCTTGATGCCTTTGTTGGGCGTCTCTGTGGAGGTCCCCATGGCTACCTCCCCGCCTTTTGGGATAGGCCCCCAGCTGTACTTCCTCACCCACATCTTCCAATGCAGCCAGTGTTTGATAAAATCCTTATGATGTTGTGATAATACAGGTTTTAAAACAATAATAGTAGTGACCGTGCCATTGGGGGGAGGGAGGCCCCGTGCCATGCGGAAACCTCCCCACATTGCCTAGAGGGGGGGCAGTCGTCCCTGTGCCCAGGTGAGGACCCTGAGTGAGGCCCGAGGGCTCAGGACCACCTCGGTGATAGGTGGCAGAGGCAGAGAAGGACCCAAGTCCGCTTGACCCTAGCAGATTTAAGGTCCCTGTGGCCAATGGTGTCCCTCCGGAGTGGGGGTCAGGTGCTGATGAGCGTCACCCATGACCTTGGTGGGAGAGGGTCATGGAACCAGGTTACCCTGGGTGCGTCCCTGGGCAGCAGCCCAGCCCTCCAGACACATGGGGCTTTTCCACAGGGCTGTGGACTCACGTCTTGAGCTCAGGTGTAGCTGTTGGGAGGTGGGGGTTGGGGGATGCCTCAGTCCCCCCCTCCAACCAGGAGCCACAGGAGGGTAATGACTTCCCAACAGAGAGGTGGTGGCCACAGCCGACTGGCCGCTCACTATCTTATTATCTCCCCCAGGTTACTCTCTGGTGACCCACATCCCGGCTGGCGCCCGAGACATCCAGATCGTGGAGCGGAAGAAGTCTGCGGATGTCCTGGGTATGCGTGTGGGGCCTGAGAGAGGGTGGGCTGCCCCTCGTGGGCTCGTGCTTTTTGTGTGGGGTCAAGCGTATGGGGTTGGAGAAGGGCGCTTGACCCTGGATCCATCCTGCGGGAGAGGGTCGGGCCCTAGAAGCCAGGACTTGACCTGGCTGTGTGTATATGTGTGTTGGGGGGTGTGGTCATGGGGAAGGTGACCTCACCCCCATGTGCAGAAGGACCTATACTGAGAGTTGCTTGACAAAGGAGGGGTAGGTGCTGACAGGTAGTGAGTTCCCTGTCCCTGGAGAGCCTGGTACAGGCAAAAACTGGAGGCACCGGCAGTGGGGTCTCTGGCTCCCCCCAACCCCTGCAGGGTACAAGAGTGAGACTCAGGAGCCGAGAAAGTTGAGTTGGAACAAGAGCACGCAGGTGGCCACTTGGAGGCCACGGGGGATGAGGAGCAGAGGTTAGATTCAGACTCAGGCTTGGTGGCTCTTGGGTGATGTCCTGCCACTGGACAGCTCTGCTGGCAGCGGGACCATGGTTAGTAGGGGTCCTTTGACATGACAATTCTGGACCTACTTGCATAAGTGGCTGAGGCGGTGAGGCCCCGAGTTGGTGACAATTTCTAGAAAGGCTCCCTGTGTAGCTGGAGTGTTGGCCCCGCAACCCCCATGTCTACACCTGCGGGCAGCAGCCTGAGGTCCTCCTGGCTGCGGTAGGTGGGTGTTGAGGCCGATGAACTGCTCTGCCCCTGGCCTCGTCCTGTGGGGGGGTGATGGGCAGGCCAGGGACCCCAGCAGGCAAGCCGGCCCTGCCACCTGGCTCCCCTCCCTGCGTCTCAGGGTGCTGCGTGAGAGCCAGGACTGGTCCCTGTGTGGGGACGCCTTGAGTGGGGTCTCCGAACTCCAGCCCTCATGCCCCCAGGTCTGCACACTCCAGGCCCCAGGCCCCACTGCCCGGGCTTGGGAGCCGGGCCTCTGCCAGGCCGGTGGCTGTGTCCCCTGCTGGGAGGGTGGCGAGGCCAGGAAACACCGTGTTCTCAGAGCCGGCAGCACAGTAATCGCTCTCGAACCAGACGCGTGGAAACGGCAAGGACAGCCTGCGAGCAGCGGGGGAGCCGCAGGAAGGAAGGTCATTACTGTCAGGAAACAGGCTTTGGACGCCAGCCGGGGATTTAACCCTGTGCACATACCTGGCGGCCGGGCCCCACCAGCCGCACCCCGGCACGCGCCCCATGGTGCGCAGCCTGCACAGCCCGGATGGTCGTTCCCGCGACTCTCCGACGTTTCTGTAGCAGACGTGTGTTGCGTGTTGCGTCTGCCTGATAATAAATGAATGGCCCGACTCCCCTGCTCCGATTGCATCAGGAGCTCTGGAAATGGAGCTCGTCCCCGCCCTCAGACCAGTTTCCGGCACTGGCTCTCCGGACAGCCTCCGAAAGGCACGCTGTGGCCGGCTCGGAGCCCGCCTCTTCTCTCCCACCCGCTGCGCCCACGGCCCCCAGCACCTCTGCTCGCCCTCCACAGCCCCAGGGCGGGCCAGCTGCCCCGCACGGCCCCCCCAACCCCCCAGCTCCGGGAGGCTGTTCTGACCTCCGGGGCTGGCAGGGGCTGGGTTGCCGTGGGTTGCACGCACGTTCCTGCTGTCTGGGCGTCATCAGGCTCGGGTCAGGCCCTGGGAGTGGCCGTCCTTCGAAGGTCCTGTGTTCCAAGTGTCCACTCACACCCCGTCTCAATGAGAGGGTGACTAAGCATGTGCCCGGGCTGCCCTCAGCCACGCCTGGGAGAATGGGTTGATGCGGGGGTCAGCCTGGTGGCAGCCGCCACGCCACAGGATGTTAGGGCTTCCAGTGACAGCATGGAGCTGGTCAGCTCAGGGTGGTCCGGCAGGGCCTGCGGAGGCTGTGGGGACGGTGTTCCGGGTCAGTCAGGCCAGGGCTGCAGCGTTGCTCAGCACAGGCCCTGGAGGGACTCTGGGGTCCCCATGTGTGGTCCTTCTACCAAGGTGGGAAGCTGGGGGGGAGGTGTGCAGTTCACCCAGGGTCACACGGTGAGTTTTCAGCAGGGCCGGGTGATGGGAGAGTGTGTCCACACTTTCTGAGCATCCCCAGGCCAATGCTGGACGTGGCAGGATGCCCAACTCCCCAACGACAGGGAGTGTCCCGTCTTGGGGTCCCAGGGCTGAGCTGGCCGTCGCTGCCTGGGTGGGCGCTGCTGGCTGCTCCCTGTCCCTCCGTCCCTGCCCAGTGCGGCCCGCACAGGTGACTGGCTGGCTTTGCCCCTTCAGCTCTCGCGGATGAAGCTGGCTACTATTTCTTCAACGGCAACTTCAAGGTGGACAGCCCCAAGAACTTCAACATCGCGGGCACCGTGGTCAAGTACCGGCGGCCCATGGACGTCTACGAGACGGGCATCGAGTACATTGTGGCGCAGGGGCCCACCAACCAGGGCCTGAACGTCATGGTGGGTGAGCGGGGCCAGCCCTGCAGGGGCCCCGGAGCTTGGGCCACGCGCTGCACGCCCCCCCACCCCACCCTGGTCACTCTCCCGCCCTTGTCTCACAGCCCCGGGTCTCCTTCCTTCCCTTAGTCTCCAAAGCCCACATGTGTGTGACTTCATTCCCAGTCGCTTGTCCAGCCAGCCACCCGCTGTCCCAGCCCTCAGCCCAGGAGTGGGTGCTTTGGTCCAGCACTCGTAGTCATTCGTTCACTCATTCATTTCACTTATTCCCTCATTCATTTGCACTTATTCATTCACTCACTCGTTCATTCTCATTCACTTATTCACTCATTCACTTGTTCATTCATTCACTCATTTATTCATTTATTCCTTCATTTACTCATTGCTCTCTCACTCAGTCATTCCCTCATTCTCACTCATTGACTCATTCATTCTCATTCATCCACTCATTCGTCATTCACTCCCATTCATTCATTCATGCACACATTCCTTTTCACTGATTCATTTATTCACTCATTCATTCATTCATTTAAGATTTTATTTATTTATTCATGAGAGACACAGAGAGAGATGAAGAAAGAGACACAGGCAGAGGGAGAAGCAGGCTTCCTGCGGGCAGCCCGATTTGGGACTCGATCCCGGGACTCTGGGATCACACCTTGAGCTGAAGGCAGACACTTATCCACTGAGCCACCCAGGCATCCCCACTCACTCATTCATTAACTCATTCACTCATTCACTTACTCACAGTTCCTTCATTCACTCATTTATTTACTCATTCCTTCACTCATTCATTCACTGACTCCTTCACTCCTTCCTTCCTTCTTCCCTCCCTTCCTCCCTCCCTTCCTCCCTCCCTTCCTCCCTTCCTTTCTTCCTTCTTCCTTCCCCACTGCTGTTAGTGACCCTGGTGGGACTGCATAGCAGGAAGCTGCAGCCATTGGATCCGCACTAGCCACTGAGGCCAGGAAGCTATTTGGGGGTGCAGGGATGCGGGGATGCAGGCCTCCTCCCCATTGCACAGTTGGGGTGTTTATACCCCCACCTAGTTCCCTGCCCTTGGCCCCATTGACACTGTGGCATTTTTGCCTGGTCCTCAATGTTGGGGAACCTGCCCCTACCCCTCACTGCCCTTCCAGGGTGCTCACGGCTTCTGAGGTGGGGGGGTGCAGGGAGTTGAGCAGAGGGCAGGAGAGAGTTTGAGCCTGCTGTGTCAGCTTGCCGGGACACAGCTGGTGTCTAGAAATGAGAGCCATCGCCACTCGGTGCCCCAGTGCTGAGAAAACAGAAGAGGACTTGTCAGTGAAAGCAGGTGATATCCAGATGGGCAGTTCTGATGTTTTCCAGGGTCTGTGGACCCAACCCCCCCACCCCACCTGACTGATTTGATTTCAATTCTACCATTCGTATCCTCACTCTGTGGAGGAAAACCCTGGGCACATGGAGCCTGTGACTTGCCCCTGCTGGGGCTGCTACATGGCAGGTCAGCTGGTGCCAGAGCCAGCTGTTTGTTTAAGTGCTAGGCTGGAGGGGTCTCTAACTGGGAGGGGGGCGCCCCCTCCCCACATTGCTTCTTGGCTGAAGAGCCTCCTTGGATGGCCCCAGAACCTAATGGGGGCCACATACCTCTCCACCTTCCCTTGGAGCTGCCCCTGAGGCACACCAGCTGCCTGGCTTCAGCGTCCCAGGACCCAGACTCCTGGACAGAGGACAGTGTGATGCAGGGTTTGGGGTATGGTCTCAGGAGAGGCAGCTGGGGTTGGGGCTCTCCGGAGGGCCGGGGGGCCAGACTAGACAGAGGGAGATGTGGAGCGGTATGGCCAGAACCTCAGCTGATCCCCTGGGAGCTCTGGGGTTGCAATAGCCCCTCAGAGTCCTCTCCAGTTGAGGCAGAGAGGCAGAGCCTAGTTGCTGGAAGCCACAGGGCTGGGTGTGACTCTGGGAGAGGCAGTTCTCTTCAGCTGAGGATGACTCCTGGGGCAGGTCTCTCTGGGAACTGTCCACAGAGCATTCCAGGCTGCTCGTGGAAGGGCGGGGACTGGAGGCAACCATTGGCTTTGTATCACGAGTTTACCTTGGCGGGAAGAGCTCCTCTAGAGTTCTGGTTGGCTTCTTCCCAGGGAGCCTCACGGAGAAGGCTGGTGGGATGAACAAAAGTTCGTCAGGGGGCTGCAACCCAATCACATTACTTGCCTCCTCCACTGGTCACTCTAGGTTCCCCTCTGCTAGTCTAGGTGGCTTACCTGGCCAGGTAAGCTCACCTGAGGGGTCTGGGCTCCGGGGCTCCAGACTCTGCCCCATTCTTATCCAGTTACCATCGAAAATGGGCAGGCAGATACCAGGAGATGCCCCAGGGGGAAAGCAGGTAATCAAATATATTCCCCAGGGTTGACACGTCCCTACACACGCCTGGTGGTCAGGGTCAATTCCCCTGCCAGGGCGGTCACTCTTGCTACTCTCCTGACACAGGCACCCAAGTGGACCAGGGGACAATCAGAGCCGAGAGTTTAATGAAATTCTTGCCATGTCTCCTGGTGCAAGTGTTCCCCGTCTGGCAAGCAGGACCTGTGGACCTGCAGACCCTAGAGCCACAGGGACCAGAAACCCCAAATGCTCCCTGGGGACCTGGGAAGGATCGCCACAGCAACTTCCATTTTGTGGTTCCCAGAGCCACATGGCCTGCCCACTGGGGCCCCCATACTGTGTCAGGGTGATTCGTCATGGTTGTGTCATGGAGGGTGCCCTGGCGCCTCGTCCTCACACAGTGCTGCTGTCTGCAAGCCATACCACCGCTTTACTGCGTGCTGTCCCGTCAGGCTGGCGGTTTCTGTGTGGGGCAGTCAAGGGTGGGTCCAGCAGATCTCATGGTCACGTGCCTGCGGTGGCCCCTCCTTTGCTATAAAGTGGGTCTCTTTGGCCAACGCAATGTCATGTGGTATCCTGTCTCGGTGGATCAAATGCCCTGTGAGCCCTTGGGTCTGAGGCCCAGCTGGACTTCCAGTGGTGGAAGTAGCTAGAGCAGCCTTGGCCCACACCCTGGGGCCTGTGCAGAGATTCCAGCATCACCTGCATGGCTGTTCCATTCATGTACCCACTGTGCCATCAATGGGTGGACTGATGGTGGAGGCTGGCCTCTGCCGACAAGCTCAGTACCCCTCTCATGGGGGATGCTCCCTGCTGTGCTTTAACATGTGACACAAGTGGGGAGTTGGGGGTGGTTGACACTGCCCTAGGACTAAACTGCAAACAGGGACTGTTGTCCATCCCAGGGGAATAGAAACTGCCTCTACCCAGTAGGGGTGGGAAAGATCGTATTTGCCACGTTGGTGGCCATGTGTGGTCAACTTGAGGTCATGTTAATCTGCCCTGGAAAAAATGTTTATCTGGAGCTCCCACGCCATTGGGTTTGGAGGGGCTCCTTGTCACCCTCCTGGATCTATCTTGCTTATATAGCAGCCAAACTGTTGAGTTAGGTGTGGGGCATGGGGGTTACCACCTCCCATCCTTCAGGTCACCAGGACTGACACTAATCTCTGTAATTTCCCCAGGATGCAATACTGTTTTTGATTTACTCTCTTGGTTGGGGTGGGGGTCAGGGGTCGGGACCATAGGCTTGCATTTAGCTCCCCCGTGATGGTCGCCCCTCCCCTACAGGTTGAGGAGCCAGCTGCCACTGTGCACGTGGGAGCTGGTCAAGTTTTGCGTCCAGTGCACATACTGCGAGCCAGACCTGGGCTGTAGTTGGGCTGCTATTTGTCACCCACATGCTGTCTCACTAATGGGGTGCGTGACAATGCTCTAGGTCCCTGACGGGCAGTGACAACCTAAACCCTGACTACCAGATGTCCACCCATTTCTCCAGTGAACAGTTAACCAGGTCAATGACTATGTCGATTCTGGGGGAGAAAAACTAGGGGAATCATTACCATATAAACTTGTTGTGGCTTCTTCTTCCCAGGGACCTGGCCGTTCCATCATTCAGTGGATTGTGGGTCTGGATGCTGACCCAGGAAATCGGGTGGGGCGGTGAATTTTCTGGGGCAGCTGCCCTCCGCCCCTGAATATCCACCCTTGATTTCTTTTGATCTTACAGATGGAGAGGTGCCTTTTCTGGGCCCATCTATATGTCCCCTGGGGTCCTTTGTCCTATGGGCCGTGTGCAGAGGTCTCTGTGGGTCAGGCTTCCTGGCTACCACGTCAGCCCCCTGGGTTCTGATGATCTTGGGGAGCCTGGTTCTATGACAGCTTGTTCTGGCATCTGTCTGGCCTGGTGATACTTAATGGTGTCCCTCCAAGTGTCCTTCTGAGTGATGCTACTGCTTCCTCTTGGGCACATTTCCTTTCACTTTGGTGAATAGAATGTCCTCCAGGGGGTCCTGCCAGAAACGGTCACCTGGTGGGGTTTGCAGTCTCTCCTTACACTCCCATTATCTGCCATGGCTTTATCCTTCACTTAGTGTTGGCTCCCTTTCTCCAAACTTCCAAGAACCACCCTGGTGGCATGTTGGCACTTTGTCCCAGAGTTACCCCTGTGGGATTTCTGACTCGTGGTGAGAAGAAAATGCAGATTGGTTTGAGTCAGCTTTATTACTTGTAAAACATCCTCTTCATGCCCGCCGTGGCCTGTGCCCAGGGTGGACACCTTCCTCCACCCCCTCCCTGGGCATGCTCCTACTCACCAGGCTTCAGATGCGGGCTGCCCTAAGAGGTGAGGTGCAGCATGAGTGGAGGCCCCGTTCTTTGGCCAAGGCTGAGTCCCTGGGAAGGAAGGACTCAGCTGTGCACCACGGCTGGGACTGCCTCTTGCAGCTCGGGACAAAAGTGTGTCTTCCCTCTAGGGGCTGGTGGGTGACGAACCTCGGCAGCCACCCCAGGCTTGTGCGGAAGGGGTGGGGTTCCACTTCTTCTCCTCCCCAGGTATGGAACCAGAACGGCAAAAGCCCCTCCATCACCTTTGAGTACACGCTGCTGCAGCCGCCGCACACCCACCGCATCCAACCGGTCTACTACAGCTTCTCCGAGCCCACCTCCGAGAGCGCAGAGAGCCAGGAGCTGGATGGGGCCGCATTGCTGGGCTTCCTTCAGCACAACACCTCCTTCTACAGCCAGGCCTCCTCTGAGCAGCTGGGCCTGGACAACCGGCTATTCGGCCACCTGGGCCCGGGGATCGAGCTGGGTCTGAGCAAGGGCCAGGAGACCAACGAGGTGTGCGAGCAGGCCGGTGGCCGGGCCTGTGAGGGACCCCCCAGAGGCAAGGGCTTCCGAGGTAACCAGGAAGGACGGGATGGGGCAGGGGCTTCCTAGGGAGACGGGCCCTGGGCAAGGGGTCTTCGGTCTCCTGCAGCCTGCAGATGAGGCTTGCAGACGGGGCTGATCAGAGGCTTGCAACGTGCAGCTTCGGGGACAGGGCCAGTGCCACCACTTCACATACGTGCTGTTTCTCATCTGTTCTTTGAGGCGGGCACAGTTGTCCTCATTTCAGTTGCGGAGGCTAAGGCTTAGATGTGGGCTTTCCCATATCCATAGATGAACTGGGAGTCGAACCCAGGACAGTCTGACCTTCCAGCCCGTGCACTTGTTCATTTGGTAGAGACAGACAGCACACCAAGGTGTGGCCAGTGATCTGGAAGGGGGTGACCGGTCAGCGAGGGGGCATGGGAGGACCTCGGGTCCTCAGAGAGGGTGGCCCTGACCTGAGGGCTTGGGAACACTTGAGGCTGTGGGTGAGGGGTGGGATGAAAGAGAGAGCCAGTGAGAGCCAGCCTGGGCAGGGCAGGGTTCAGGGAAACAACGGGAGGCATAGCCAGAGATGTAGGGGTGAGTTAGGGTCCCCGAGAGCCACACCAGTAGCTTGGCCGTGTTCCTAAGGCCCATGCAGTGGCTTGCCAGGGTTGGTCTGGACCATGCCTCCAATTTTTTTTTTTAAGATTTTATTTATTGATTGATTGGAGACACAGAGAGAGAGATAGAGGCAGAGACACAGGCAGAGGGAGAAGCAGGCTCCATGCAGGGAGTCGGATGTCGGACTCGATCCTGGATCTCCAGGATCACACCCCTGGCTGAAGGTGGTGCTAAACCTCTGAGCCACCGGGGCTGTCCACATGCCTCCAATTTTTAAGACCCCGAGAGTCTTCAAGTAAAAAACACTTTAGGAGTTGTTTTAGTGCCCTGGGGCTGCTGTATCAAACCACCCCAAACAGGGAGGCTCCCCACAGCTGGAAACTCATCTCTCCCAGTTATGGAGGCCAAAAGTCCAAAATCAAGGTGTCAGGTGTCAGCAGGCCCACATTCCCTCTGGAGGCTGTGGGTGGTGGCAGGCAGAGGGGGGTCTTTCCTGCTTCTCCTGGTTCCTGGGGGCCCCAGCCTCTGCACTTCCGTGGTCACATGCCTTCTCCTCTGTGTCTGTCACATGCACTCTCCTTCTTATAGGGACAACAGCTGTTGGATATAGTACCCCCCCGCCCCGCCCACAAATCCATGATGACTCAACTCTAGATCCTTAACTACCTTTACCAGGATCCCATTTCAAATAAGCTCACATTCTGATGAGGTTCAGGGCAGGCATGAGTTTTGAGGGGACCCTATTCAATCCGATTTCCCTGCAAGAGATAGTCCAGGCCGGTGGGCACACCACCACGTGGTGGTCTGTGTCCTCTCCCTGTGCAGAAACCTGCCTCTGGGAACGTCCCAGTTCAGGTCTTTGCTGCCAGCCACCCTGTGTGCCCGCCCCCACCCCCACGGGCAGCCCTGGCGCCCACACAGGGGAGCATCTGAGAGTGAGCCACCTGTCTCCCTCGTAGACGGCAATGCCACAGGGACGGCTCTCACGGGGGACAAGGATGAACAACAGGTGGATAAACGTCTCACCTCCCAGCGGCTCCTCTCTGCCAACGTCATCTCTGATCAGCTCCTGGGCGCAGGCTCTGACTCCAGAGAACTCCCCTTCAATGAGACGGGTAACAGCATCTTTGCGCAGGGCGCCCCAAGGCGCTCCCCGGCCGAGAGCCTCTACGTGGACTATGAGGAGAATGAGGAAGCGGGGGCTTATCTGCTCAATGGGTCCTACCTGGAGCTGAGCAGTGACAGAGTCACCAACTCCTCCTCGGAGGCCCCGTTCCCCAATGCCAGCTCCAGCCTCCCTGCCTTGGCTGGCAACAGGACACACAAGGCCAGGTAGGAGATGCTTCTGCTGCCCTGTCAGGGCTGCTGGGGCAGGCCTGGGGTGGGGGACAGGCCCGACCCCACTCCTGCCCCAGGCCCCAACCCTGGGTCTGAGTAGAGAGCTCAAAAGCCTGGGGTTTAGTGACTTCTTGCCACAAGTTTGGCTGAGCATCGTGTGTGGCTCTGACACCGGTTCAGGGGGAGGAGGAGGTGAACGGTTCCTAGTGCTCATCATGAGCCCAGCTCGGCCGAGCATCCACATGTGTGGGAACAACCCCCCTTAGTGGTAGGGCAGTTACGGGGGCATGGAAGGGGTCAGAGAGCCTGAGGCCTGGGTTCCCAGTCTGGATGGTCACCGTACACAAGCTGCCGAGCGTGACATGGGCGCTCCAGGCTGCTCATTGAGTGCACAGTGGCTCAGGCCTGACTTCACTGAGGGCCAGACAGGAGGTGGGGAAGGGTCCACTGGGGTCCTCGGGCAGGGCCAGAGCCCAGAGTCAGGCACTGGGAATAAGGCCTTCTGCTTCTGGGGCTGGAGCTGCCTCCAGGATGGGTCGAGTAAGGGGCTACCTGGGGCTAGGTGTCCAGAGCCAGAGATACACCTGGGGACACCTGGACAGTCACATCTGGAGATGCCTAAACAGTTATACCTGGAGATGCCTGGACAGTCACACCTGGGGAAACCTTGTCAGCTACACCTGGAGATGCCTGGACAGTCACACCTGGGGACTCCTGGACAGTTACACCTGGAGATGCCTGGACAGTCACATCTAGGGATGCCTGGACAGTCACACCTGGGGAAACTTTGTCAGCCACACCTGGAGATGCCTGGACCGTTACACCTGGGGACACCTGGACAGTCACACCTGGGGATGCTTGGACAGTCACACCTGGGGATACCTTGTCAGCCACACCTGGAGATGCCTGGACAGTCACACCTGGGGACACTTGGACAGTACACCTGGGGATGCTTGGACAGTCACACCTGGGGACACCTGGACAGTCACACCTGGGGACACCTTGTCAGCCACACCTGGAGATGCCTGGACAGTCACACCTGGGGACAGTTGGACAGTCACACCAAGGGACACCTGGACAGTCACACCTGGAGATACCTTGTCAGCCCCCTGGAGACACCTGGACAGTCACTCCCGGTGACACTTGGACAGCCACACCTGGAGACACCTTGTCAGCCACACCTGGAGATGTCTGGACAGTCACATCTGCGGACACCTGGACAGTCACACGTGAGGACACCTGGACAGTCACAGCTGGCTCTGGGTGGGAGGCACTTGGGAGCAGGGTGGCCCCAGGCCTGCCACCATCCCTACTAGGGGAGAATCCCTGGTGACAAATCCCTTGGGCCAATGACAGCCACTATGGAGGTCCCTGCACTGTTCCCCAGAAGCTCAGGGGGCAGTTAGACTGCTTCCAGCAGAGCGAGTCACACTGAGCAGCCACTGGTGGGGGGTGGGGGCTAGAGGTGGGAAGGACTCAATGGTTCTTGTTTTGTCTTTGAAGACCCATCTGAACTCCTTGACTTTAGACACCAAACATGAATGGAGCCATAGGCGGGCTGAGGATGCTTGGGACCCTGGGTCACTGGGTTTAAAAGAAGGTTTGGGCATCCCTCATAAGGTGAGGTGGTTGGGGTGACCCTCTCACCCTTGAGCCGGGGACAAGAATGGTGAAGCGCCCCCCCACCCCAGTCTACCAGGGTGCCTGATCCTTCTCTAAAGCTGCTTTCTAGAGGCCCCTAGTCACAGGGGACAGCTGGGGTGTCAGGCTCCCCGGGTATATCTGGGACGCCTCTTACAGTCTCTGGGTGGAATTCTTTGCAAATGTGGACCCAGTGAAGCTCTGGAAGCTTCTGTGGCTGCCCTTCCACCAGGGCTATCTGCTCACCTGTCCAGCGGCCCAAAGGCTTTCAGGGTGTAGGGTCTGGGGGGCATGTGGGACCCAGCGGCTGGGAAGGGTGGCAGGCTTTGCTTCTAGGTGCAGGTCAGAGCCTGAGAGCAGGATTCACGGGCAAAGGACCAGTGTTCACATTGGGCCCGCACTTGCTGGTGTGACCAAGCCAGTTATGGAATGCTCTGCACCTGGTCCCTGCATCCTTGGCCTGGTCCCTTCTCAGCTCCAGGACTGCCCAGAGGATGACAGTCTATCCCAAATGGAAGCACTGAGTGGGGACTCAGCAGATAGAACCCTCAGTAGGACCTGAACCTCCATGTTGGGGTGGGGCCTCTTGCAGATGCCCCAGAAGCTCGGTGTCCCTCTCGGAGTGGCTTGATCAAGGTGTCCCAGAGGCTCTGCTGCTTCAGGTGGCTTACAGCAGTGTGGACACAGTTCAGGAAGGGGCATCAGGAGACCCGGGGCACCATCCCAACTTTCTGAGTGACTCACACATGTCTCCTACCCACTCTGAGCTTCAGTTTGAGTCCCTGAGAGTGAGGCCAAGAGGATGCCACAGGGTCCACCGGTCCCACAGCCCTAGGATTCCCAGGCCAGATCACCCACAAGCTTTGGGGTCCTTAAGCCACATTTGAAAACATCTCTCCTGCCCCCACCCCAGCCGACTCTCACCCCACTCCTCAGCGCCCCCCCAGGCCCCCCTCGGCTGCAGGAATCAATACAATTATTGATTGTCCACACTCAGAAAGCCCTGGCGGGCGTGGGGAGAGATGGGGCGGTCCCCCCCCCCCCCCGCCATCAAAGGATGCTGCTGAGGAGAGACCAAAGATGGTTTTTGGAGATAAAGGGCCCAGGGAGGCGGCGGGGAAGCCACCAGGCCAAAATAGCCGGCGGCGCGTCTCACTGTCCAAACACAGGAAGTCGCGTCTGCTCAGGGAGAGGCCAAAATCAAAGGGGCGGCCCAGAAAGGAAAGGTTATTTTCATCTCTTCAGAGCGGCCTCAAACAATCACGGGAGGCCCCCGGTCACCAGAGGCAGACGCTGGGAACCGGCCTGGAGACGGGGAGACACAGGAGCGCTCTCAATCTCTCTCTCTCTCCCACCCCTGGAGAGGGAGAGGGGAAGAACAGCAAAGAGGCCTTGCTGGTTTATTTGCAAACCAGCAAGGTCGGTTGTGGCCAACCGAGACTCTCCTGGCCTGATTGTCGGACCCTCGAGCCCCACCGAGTCTGGCTGAGACGGGTGCTCTCTTCCTTCCAAAAAGGAGGCTCTAGAGGGCTGGTGGCCCCCAGATTCTGTGAGATTCCGTGGGTGTTTTCCTCCTGGGTGCTGGCTCCTTCCAAGAACCGAAGCTGGCAGGAGTTGCATTGTTGTGCAAATATGGGCTGGTTTTTTCGAGAGGGGCTCTGCTGGGCATGACGTGGAAGAGTGAGGTGTGGGCAGCCCCTCCAGAAATACCTTTTGTGCTTAAACCCCGAAGGGTTATTTTGAACCAGGCCGCGTGCGCGCTCTCCCGAGTCGGGAATGAGTCACGCAGCCTGCTGGCTGAGGAGTACGTAATTAGTTGAAGATGGCGCAGCTTTCCCATGGGTGGGGCGGTGGGACATGGGTGGGATCTTTGCATCTCTTTTTGTTCTTGGGGAGAATTTAAAGCCGGGGAAAGGAGGGTGGGGGACCCTATCGGTGAGTTGCGTTTCCCAGATCAGACATTAGGTCGTAGGCTTCTGGGCCCTTTCTCCCCAGGAGGCCTTGCATGGGGTTGCTGGGTGCTCTCCCGGGTTTCTTACGGGTCCTCTGCTGTGAGATGACAAGGTCTTGGGGGCTTGGGAGAGCCCCATTCAAGAGTTTCTCCCCACTCTTAAGGAGGAGGGAGGGGGAACCTTCCTCTTACCTCCGAAATCTGCAAAAGCGAGGGGCTGGCTCTTGGTTGTGAAGCCACCAGGTCAGGGGCTCAGTGGCTTCGAGTGGCCCTAAAACTGGCCACCACCAGCTCAGGGCCTGTTCCCCGGCCCCTGCTTCCTCCTCCTCAGCCCCCCACCCCCCTCCCATGCCCTGGGTTATGTGGCACGTCAGTAGATTCATTACTTAAGGCCGTGGGTGGATTATTTCCTGGTTCTCAGAGTGAGATGAACCGCGGCTCCTCCATGTATGAAGCCCCTGGGAGGGGAGAGAGCTCTCAGTTGAATCCAAACCAATGTCTTGGCCACACAGTCGCCTGGAAAGCCCTTCAGCATGTACACCCTGGGACACTTGCTCAGCCGAGGTGGCCACAGGTCCCCAGGAAGGGACGCGTGCCTGTGCCCACAAGGACACCCCATGAAAGGGTATAGCAGCCGTGGGTGGTTGCCAGTCAGCCCCTTGGGAAGCGACATGGGGCAGTGGGGCAGGGTCGGGAGTCAGAGGGACGCCAGGGGCAGGGTGGGGGGCTGAATGGTGTGCCTTTGGCCAGGCCATCGCCCCACGTCCGCTTCCGGGGGGGACCCCCTCCAAGCCCCGGTGGCTGCATCTCAGAGCAGATCCTGGGGCTCCAGGAGGCACTGCCGCTGCCGCCACTGCTTCCCTCCTCCCCTGCTGGGTCCAAACCCAGCCTGCTCGCTGGATACTGAGGCTGGGCCCCAGCACACCAACTGGTTCAAAGAAGCAAACAGTCCTAACAATAGTTGGCTTCAGCCACCCGGGCTCCGGCCAAGAATCATAGCTGGTTGCTGGCGCCGAACCAGCCTGCTTTCCCCTGCACAACAGCCATCGCAGACCTGGGCAGAGGCGTCTGGAGGGGACCAGCCACTCCCCTGTCTGCAGCTGAGCTTTGCTGTTTTGATACTTGGAGGCTGAATGGCTAGCGTCCTCATTGAAGCAAGAGAGAATTCTGGCACATTCTCAGCATGGAAGGTGCCTTCTGAGGTCCCTGCTGGGGGAGTAGAGCAAAGGAAAGCACTCGCCTGGGGCCAGGAGGCAACAGTGGGAACCCGGCGTGTGTGCGGGGAGCCGTTGCAACACCAGTGAGCCCAGAGCTGGCCCCAATCCGGGAGCTCGGGCAGCGGGACTGCCACCTGTCCAGGCAAGGGAGAGGCCGACGTCCGTTCCGTCGTACCGCGTGCCTCCCTGCGGTGCTCCCTGCTGTCCTCCGTTCTGGACACTGGGCGTGCTGACTCCAACAGTGTGGACTCTGCACTGGGCAGCGCACCCTCCGGGGAGCGAGCACTCATCCCCTTCTCTGCTTCTCCTCAGGACCAGGCCCAAGACACGCAAGCAAGGCGTGAGTCCAGCGGACATGTACCGGTGGAAGCTCTCGTCCCACGAGCCCTGCAGTGCCACCTGCACGACAGGTACCTATGACGGGCTGCTGACAGGTGGCACCTGCTCAGCCTGCCTGCGCAGTGGGGTTGGGGCCCTGGGGCCCGCCGCTCACTGGTAACCCCGGACGGCCCACAGGGAGAGTGTCTCGTGATTTCCTGGTCAGGGTGGTGCTGTGAGGTGACAGGAGCTGGTGTCCTCATGCTCTCAGCGTGCAGGACCTCGGTTGGGCCCAGCCTCCTGGGGGTCACTCAGGCTACCCCAAACACTCCCTCATCTGCTGCTTTCGGGATTATATCTTATTAGGGCAAATGTCCTTTGGGTCGAAAGTAAGACCTCTCAAGTGGGGAGGGTTTTACTTTCATGCACAGAAGCCTAGGAAGGGAAACTAGACCCACAAGGCAATGGGACAGATTCTAGGACCCTGTCAGGGGAACAGGTAGGAGGGGAACAGAGACACCCCCCCACCCCCCAGCGGGCCCTAGACAGACACATTTGGTTAGTTAGGAAGCGTTGAGCTGAGATTCGAACCCATGTCTGTGCACATGGCTGGCCTCCACCACGTGGGGATACTGGCCGCGACCACCAGAGACCTGGGTTACATCCATGGCCAACTCTGGCTCCCTCCCCTGGGAGGCTGCTGCAAGCTCAGATGTCAAACCCAGGGCCAGCCCCCAGGGCAAACATGGCAGGGAGACCACAGGAGGGCTGACTTCCTGCACTTGGGACTTCACGTTGGGGTTTGGTCAACATCTGGGGCTGCTGCTCACAATGTATGCTGCCCCCACCCTGCCCTGGCACCCCCCAAACTGGGCCCTGCAGCCTCTGGCCAGTGAGGAGGATGAGGCAGGCCACTGCTGAACCCTAGCAGCTGGTGGTCTGGGCTGGGTCACGCCTCCTGCGGCCCTAGTTGGCATTGGCGATGCCTGGGGGGGGGGGGGGGAGCTGGGGACACGGCCCTGCAGGGTTCTGAACCCACCATGGGTCCCTATGTCTTGCTCACACCAGGACTTGCCCTTGGTTAGGGGGCTTGGGCCCCTCGTGCCATCTCAGGAGCCTCCTGAGTGGGCTGTGGGGCAGGCCAAGTTGCCCCCAAGGGTCCGTGGAGGGCATGAGGCCAGCTTTGCAGGGTGTGCGGTGAGCACGGGAGCACCACTGTCTGGCTGGCCACACCACGTGCCCTCAGCAAATTGCTTAGTCTCCTTGAGCTTCAATTTCCTACCTGTAAAATGGGACATGCACCTCTGCCAAGGTGGTTGTGAGGATGCAAAAACAAGGCCGCTGGTCTTGGGAGTGAGCCGCAGGGGCCTCCCCACAGGGCACTGGGCAAGGGGGCGGGGCACAGATCAGTTCTGACAGAGCCCCACAGTCTCCCCAGGACACCGTGTCTGCTGGGATTGTTCTAGAACATGGGAGAGTCTCCTTTTCCCCTGGACACTGTGCAGGGGACTGTACCCTGGGGAGGTGACAGCGTTCAAGGTGGCGGCAAGGGGCCTGATGCCCGGCCCTGGGTGGAAGACAGTCCCCAGGTTAGGACCCAGAGCCACCTCTCCTCACCTGCAGAGTGGCCAGGCAGGGGGACGGGGTGGATTGCCTCATGTGGCTCAAGGGGCCCAGGAAGATGAACCAAGAAAAGGAAGCGGGAAAGACCGATTTGCACTCTGTCAGCGGAAGAGCTCTCCTGAGCCGGGGCTGTCCGGGAGTGAAACCAACAGCCCCAAGAGAGGGTGAGCTCCCTGTCACCACCAAGGCCCCAAGCTGGGCCCAGGTGGCAGGCGGCAGAAATGGTGGAGCTGAATGGTCCTCCTGCCACCACCTCTCGTGAGCTCCATTGAATTCGAAGCTCATGACTGTGGACCTACTACTCTCAGAATCCCATTCTGGGGGGTGCCAGGTCCAGGCCAGGCAATGGTGGGGTTGCAGGGCTTCTGGGGCACGTGGAATCCATGCTATGCGGTGGGCACCCTGTGCTTGGCCGTGAAGTCACATGAAGGACAATTGGAGTGGACCCCTGCCTCCCGAGCTTGTGCAGGGTCTCTTTCTTTTCTTTCAAGACAACCTTTGGAGCGGTAGAAATGCAGCTGAATGTGGGCCAAAGGCTTGAGCTTGAGCTCAAGCAGTGCTTTCGAACTGTCCCTCAGTCTCTGGGGACCCCGGTAGGCCCTGAGCCTGGTCCCCCACCAGCACAGCACCCCGATCCATGTTTCATGCGCTCAGGCTCCCCGCACGGTGAGGCCCCTGTGCATACAGAGGCTTGAAAGGCACTGTGCTCAAGGCTGATGTAATGAAAGAAATCAGTACCTCGACTCCTCCAGCATCTCAGGGTGGGGAGGTCCCAGCGTGGGGATGACCAAGCTGGGGCCCGGCAAGGCTGACAGTGCTCACATGACTCCACCATGACCAGGGAGACACTGAGCTGGGTCTTGAACCCCAGTCTCTCTTGCTCAAGACCTGCCGTGTTTCCAGTCCATGGCGAGGTCTGAATGGATAATCTGGCACTTGGCAAGGGTCTGGCAGTCCCCAGGCCTGGACCTCCCTGGGCCCCAGAGCTGGTGTCTCTGAGGCCTGGAACATTCCAAGCAGACCTGGCCAGGAAGGCAGCCTCCCCCTCAGAGAGAGCTAAAGACGACACAGCCCAGTGCTGGCTCAGAGGAGCCGGTGATTGCAGCCTGGCTCGTCCTTTACGGAAAAAAGAAAAAAATCCCCGTGTAGGCTGCTTCCCAGGCTGTTACGTTCCATCCAGGGCTGGGCTTGGAGAAGCAGCAGCTTTCAGACACACGCTGCTGGGAAGGGAGGGCTGGGGCTCTCCATCAATGGGGAAATGGATTTCCTCCTGGAGGCCTGGCAGCCCCATTGAGGAGGGTTCCATTGTCTCCATCACTCAGGGAGGCTGCCCCATGTCTCTCTCTTTCTCTCTCCCTCACACACACACATCAGCATCCACAAACCCTAACCCTACCTGGGCCTCCATCGATGCTAACAAATCTCCCTGGGGCATCCTGCTTCCTTGGCACGGACCTAACTATGGTTCAGTGAATTTGGCTCAATGTGCCCACTTGGTGCCAGATGCAGGGGTGCAGGGGCAAGAAGACCAGAGGAGTAGGAGATGAGGGGGGCATCAAGGAACTAATGACACTGGGTGAGGGCTGGCCCTTAATGTATCATCCCCCTCATGGGATTTATGGAGTACTGGTGGGCCAAGGAAGGTGAACATGCATAGTAGTGATTAAAGAAAGTTCAAAGAGAGTTGGATGAGGATTAAGGTGTGTCATGGGAGGGCAGGGAGAGTCTGAAGATGAAATGCAACACCTGGGGACGGGGCTGGAAAGGGCTGGAATGGCGAGAGTTTCCAAACATATCCATCCACCCACCCACTCACCCACCAACCTACTCATCCTTCCATTTACCCACCAAACTGTCTGTCCATATCCACCCATCCATTTCCACCACCTACCATATTCGTCCATCCATATCCACCACCTACCATATCTATCATCCATATCCATCTATTCATATTTGTCCATATCCATCCATCCATCTACCCATCCATCCACCCATCCATCCACCCATATCCATCCACCCACAACCTGCTCATCAATCCATTCACCCATCCATTTACTCACAATCTGTCCATCCATCCATCCATCCATCCATCCATCCATCCATCCACTTATCCATCTACCTATTCATCTACTTACCTACTATCCCGTTGACCCAACCATAGATGGGTAGTTGCTGAATGAATGAAAATTAGTGACACCTGGCTGTATTTGCCTCTGTACCCCTGTAAGGGCCAGTTTGAGTTTATTCAAAGCCCAGGGTTTGTGATATACAAAGCAGGTGCCCAGTCTGAGCTGGATGAGGTAGGAGTGGAGGTGGGGCTTCAGAGAGCAGTCAGACCCTAAGACATGGGCAAGGGGAGAGTTCAAATCCACAAAGCTGTCCTCACGCAGCTCTGCCTCTGTTCTGTAAGCTGGTTTCTGTCATCATCCTCAATTTAGACCAGGAAGCTCTGAGAGGTCAGGTGACTTGCCTGTGCACACGGTCCATCTGCTGGTCTCCAGGGGACTCGCTTGTGTCTCATGGGCCCTTCCCTTGTCCTGAACCAGGGGTCATGTCGACCTACGCTATGTGTGTCCGCTACGATGGCATCGAGGTAGATGACAGCTACTGTGACGCTCTGACCCGTCCAGAGCCTGTCCAGGAGTTCTGCGCCGGGAGGGAGTGCCAGCCCAGGTACCTGCCCCCCAGCACCCTGGGCAGCAGTGTGGGGGCAGCTAGGTCTCTGCTTTGCCTCTGCTCAGGGGAGCAGCAGGAGTTAGCGGGCACCCTGCTCCTTCAACGGGCTTTGTGGGCGGGATGTGGGGCCTGCGGGGTGGGGGCACTGACTGGCCTGCCAGTCCTGCCAGTCCTGCCGTGTCCTGCTCTGCCTCACAAATGGTCAGAGACAGAGCCCTAAGCACGTCCTCTTCCCGGTTACGACCACGCCAGGGTCTCCAGAGGAGCCCGAGGCTACACACCTGTTCTCTTGCTGCTTGCTCCATTGGGTCCTTGGCTCCACTGGGTCCTTGCTCCCTTCTGAGGAGCTGGTCATGTGGCCCTAGGGGGCCTGCCCTTCCCCCTGGGGGCCGCCCTGGAGGGCAGCGCTGGCTCTGGGACATGGAAGCCTGATCTCGGGTAGGAGAAGGAGGGAGGGCTTTGGGAGGGAGAAACAGCATGAGCAAGGGAGCAAGGCCGGGACACAGCTCCTCAAGTGGCTGGAAAGCCAGCTGGCGTGTCTGGACGTGACAGCAGGTGGAGGCCACTCGATTCCCAGGCAGGTGGGCCAAGCACACGGTCTGGGCACCAGCGGGGCATCCTGCCCCCCACCTTGGGTGCCTCCCAGGGGGCTCTGGGTCATCAGGTAGCAGCCTCCACCCTGGGGCCTCACCAGCTTCCTGGTTGGCTTAGCCCCGTGTGATTTGGGACACTGTAGGGGGGCAGGCCCTCTCACGGCGTGGGGCTGCATGGGGTCCCTGCCGCAGAGGGTAAGGTGGGGTCTCTGAAGGCCGGCCCCTCCCGAGGCAGGTGGGAGACCAGTAGCTGGAGCGAGTGCTCGCGCACCTGCGGCGAGGGCTACCAGTTCCGCATCGTGCGCTGCTGGAAGATGCTGTCTCCCGGCTTTGACAGCTCCGTGTACAGTGACCTGTGCGAGGCGGCTGAGGCCGTGCGGCCCGAGGAGCGCAAGACATGCCGCAACCCTGCGTGTGGGCCCCAGTGGGAGATGTCCGAGTGGTCTGAGGTGCGTGTATGCGGCCGGGCCCTCGTGGTCGTGTCCCCGCACGTCGGGGCGGCCCTGACCCCTCCCTCACTGCTTCCTCACAGTGCACGGCCAAGTGTGGGGAGCGCAGCGTGGTGACCAGGGACATCCGCTGCTCTGAGGACGAGAAGCTGTGCGACCCCAACACCAGGCCCGTGGGGGAGAAGGACTGCACGGGGCCCCCCTGCGACCGCCAGTGGACCGTCTCCGACTGGGGCCCGGTAAGGGCAGGCCCGGCTGGGGTGGTGCGCGTGGAGGGGTGACCCGTGCCCAGCGACAGTGGGTCCCAGGTTCTTCCCCTTGCTGTGCTTCAGTCTCCCTGTTTTTCTAGAGTGAGGAGGTGGGGTTAAAAGACCCAGGGGGCTGCTCTCCCCATTATTCTGAGGAATCAGGACCTTTGCCCCAAAGCAAGCGGCTCCTTCACAATCCCTTTTCACGACTTCCCTGCTCGTCTGCGCCTATCTCTGCGTCTCTCTGTAAGACAGACACTCAGATGCTCACCAGGGTCCCCTCTGGGTGCTGGGTACACAGATGACCTTTTTAGGTATTTTAGGTGTGCTTTTCTGTGTCTTGTTTTTCCACTGAGCATGTAATATTTCTGTAATTAGAACAGAAAATGTTATTTAAAACGTGGTTGCTGTGGCAACCGCTCCCTCCCCCACACCGCTTGGGGAGCTGGTCCTCTCTGGGAATGACAGCAGGGGGGATGGCATGGCTAGGGCCCTGCCTCTAACCACCCCCCTTCCCCCCTGGCCTCCCCTTGCAGTGCAGTGGAAGCTGTGGGCAGGGCCGCATGATCCGGCACGTGTACTGCAAGACCAGTGATGGACGGGTGGTGCCCGAGTCGCAGTGCCAGATGGAGACCAAGCCTCTGGCCATCCACCCCTGTGGGGACAGGAACTGCCCTGCCCACTGGCTGGCCCAGGACTGGGAGCGGGTGAGTGCCCTGGGCCAGTGGCTGGGCTGCCCTCTGCCTGGGGCAGTGTTTGGCCGAGAGCCAAGCGACCAGGAGGACCGATGGGTCACTTGGGGAATTAATTGCAAATTATGATGGCACAATTCACTAAAAATTAATTGGAGATAGAAAAAAGCGCCAAAGGTAAGAAAACCCCTTAAAACTTGCCAAATCTAAGTAGCCAAATGCCCCATGATGCACGCAGATTGGTCATGTTTTTTTCTTTATGGATTTATGGAGAACCAGGGCTGGGGGCCCTCAGGCTGCACTGGCTCTCGGCTCCCCCGGGGGCCTCTGCATCTATTGGTTTCACGACCATGTCGTCTGCCCACCAACCGGCCAGGTGTTGACTTGTCACTCCAGACCAGTTGTTCTCAACCAGTTCCTTCAGGCAGACTGCTATTAGTCAAGTCATCTCGGGACAAATTGTCATGAACCATTTTGTTTCAAAACAGATGGTTTTCTGTGAAATTGCTTTTGATCAGATGTGTTTTGGGCCAAATGGTTATCGACCAAAGAGTTCTCAGCCAATTTGTGGTTGATCCAAACGTTCTCACCCGGTTGTCACCAACCAAGCTGTGTTACCGGAGTCACGTGTGCTGTGTGCTGGTCCTCCTGGCCTCTGGCCTCTGACCCGGCCCCACCTGTCCCCCACCTCCAGTGTAACACCACCTGTGGCCGAGGGGTGAAGAAGAGGCTGGTCTTGTGCATGGAGCTGGCCAACGGGAAGCCACAGACACGCAGTGGGCCTGAGTGTGGGCTGGCTAAGAAGCCCCCCGAGGAGAGCACCTGCTTCGAGAGGCCCTGCTTCAAGTGGTACACCAGCCCGTGGTCCGAGGTGAGCACCAGCTGGCCACTCTGGGATCTCAGGCCAGCCCTGAGTTCTGGTCCTGCCCCACGTCCCCACAGTGGTCATGGAGCATCACTTGAGTGGGGTGGGGGTAGGGAACAGGAGCCCCGGGGCCGGTGCAGCTGTGGGCAGGCTGTGTGACCTGGGGTCCCAGAGCCTCCAGCCTCAGTGTCCTCATGGGCCAGCTCTGAACTCTATGGGGATGACACAGGGGCATTGCATGGGATGGGGAGCCCTGGAAATTCCTTCCACTGTGATGTTCTATAGTGTACCCCAGACACACCCCTGTACCCATGTACCCACATGTACCCATGGCTTCCATGGTCCTGGTCACTAGGATGTGGAGGCCAAATCCCTAAATCTTAGAATTCAAGGTGAATATTCTTAGAATCTGTAAGGTAGGGTGAGTCCCCTGCTTGGGGTTCCTAGTGGAAATACTTAAGGTGACCAAGTCTTGCCCTAGATGGGACCTCTGCTTCCTACAGCACACATGCTCGTTCAAGAGCAAAAACGTGCACGTTTACTCATTCTGAGTTGCCCACAAGAGGACTGACCTGGAGGGACAGAGGGGCTAAGGGTATGAGGGTGGGGTGGAGACTTCCAGAGGAGGTGTGGGCAGGGCCAGGGCCTGAAGGATGAACAGGCATCCAGGGACCAAGGCTCCCTGCCCACCCCAGCCCCCTCAGGGAGTCGAGGGCTCAGGTCCCAGATGTGTCTGGGTGACATGGGGTCACCCATATCGGGGAGGGGAACAAGAGGGAGCCACCGCCTGTGGGATCTTGGCAGGAGGTTGATGGGGCAACTGGGGTCAGCAGATGTCCCTGGTGTTCTGGGAGCTCAGCGGGGTTTTCCAAGGGGAACATCTGGACGGGGGAGCCTCGGGTGGGAGTGGTGACTTTGGAAGATAGGTCTAATTGGCGCGCGACAGTTTTTTACTGGAGTGGAAACCAGTGCTCTCGCTCGGCCATGGCCCTGTGTGTCCTGAGCATTCTGTCTCTCAGGCCCCAGGAATGCTGAATCCAAGGACCCACCCAGGGACAGTGAGAGAGGAGGGGGCCCCCGCTTCACTGTGCATATGGTGAAGCCGAGTGGCCCTGGGAGAGGATGGGCAGCAGGTCTCCTGTCTCCCATCAGCTGAGACTCAGCAGCCTGGTGGGAGGGGTGGGACGCCCCCTCCTCTGGCCAGACCCCTGCCCTGCCAGCTGGGGGCTCTGGCTACGCTGTCTCTCCCATCAGTGTACCAAGACCTGCGGGGTGGGTGTGCGGATGCGAGATGTGAAGTGCTACCAGGGAACGGACATTGTCCGTGGCTGCGACCCGCTGGTGAAGCCCGTTGGCAGGCAGGCCTGTGACCTGCAGCCCTGCCCCACGGAACCCCCAGGTGAGAAGGGGGAGGCCGACAAGGGTGGGCAGAGCCAGGGCCTGGGGGATGAGCAGGTGTCAGCCACGGGGACCAGGAGGATCCAGGGCCATGAATACCAAGTCCTGTGGGGGAACTAAGGCTCCCCCCACCATGCCTCCTAGAATGGCTGAGCCTAGGTGGGAAGTGCTAGGTGGGAAGGGTGGTAGATGAGGCTTAAATGGAGTGCAGGGTCCCTGGAAGCCATGCCAAGACCTGCATTCGGCTTCAGAAGACGGGGCCAACCATGGGTGGGGACCAGGAATCCAGGATGACTCAAGCTGAACCAAGCACACAGCTCAGGAGCCGGGACCACAGGAGGCAGGCGGCGAGGGCTGCCCCAGGGCTCAAGTGCCTGGGACAGGGGCAGGGGCACCAGGGCAGGCAGCAAGCTACTTCACACCTGTTCTCCGGAGGGGACACGTGTGGGCCTCCCGGGAACATTCAGGCCTTCAGGAGTGAGGTCAAGGCCTCCTCCCAACCCTGGCTCTGGGCATCACCCTTCAGACCACGGGGGAGATACCGTGACATCTCAGGGAGGGGCGGGGGGCAGAAAAGGGCTGGCGGAGCCATAGCGCTCATGGCCCCGAGGTGTGGTGGGCGGCCTATTGTCCCTGTACCCAGAAATGAGCATGTAGAGGCCACCTGTCCACAGGTGCTCTGCGGCCCAGGACCACCCCCGAGTGGATCAAGCTCCCGTAGTTAAGGAGAGGAGTAGCAGGGTGGGGTGGGGGGGTCCTGTCCTGTTGAGTTGTCCTCCTTGGCCTCCTCTGATGTCCTGTTACCACCCCCCCCACCCGCCCGCCATGTCCCTCCCCCAGACGACAGCTGCCAGGACCAGCCAGGTACCAACTGCGCTCTGGCCATCAAGGTGAACCTGTGCGGCCACTGGTACTACAGCAAGGCGTGCTGCCGCTCCTGCAGACCCCCCCACTCCTAGGCCCTGCTGCCGCCCCTCAGAGACCCGAGTGCCCCACCCCTGGGGCCCCCCCGCAGCTGCTGGGGCCCCTCCACGGACACCCTTCCCGAGGGCGCCCAGGCTGTGAAGATATGACACTGAGCCTCTGCTCTCCCCACTCCCACCCCAGGGAAGGAGAGCCCCCCAAGAGCGCCGCTGGCCCCCGCCCCCGACAGAACTGCCCCTGCTGCCTGGGAAGGTGTTCTTAGAGCTATGAGGATGGTTTGTTGGTGGCTCCCTCCCGCCAGCACCCGGCCGTGCACCCGGCCCCACCCAAGGGGCTGGGGACTGTCCTCTCTGCCTCCAGGGCCGTGGGGTCGAGGAGGGCTGGGGGAGCCAGGAGATCCAGGTGCCACCTTGGACCCAGCTCCTGTTCAGGGGCGCTCCTTCCAGGGGAATCGTATCTCACAACTAGCGTCCACTCGCCTCGTCACTCAAAGCTCTCACACACGGAGGGACCTGCTGCACTTTACGCCCCGGAAGGAGGCACACTAGGATATGGTCCTGTCAGCACCTCTGTATGTTAATAAAGTGGTCGTATTTATGGCGGCATCGTGGGCTCCCAGTGGCTCTGGCAGGAGGGCTGGGGTGGCCGTCAGGCTCTGAGAGCCAGGCTGTCCTCCTCATGAGTTCAGGAAGGCCTGGGCTGGTGGCCTGGGGCCTGGGGCCAAGCTGCAGTGTCCCCCTCCCCCTAGAGGAGGTGACAGGGGCACACAAATGGAGATGGGGCACCTGCAGGGGTGAGGGGGACGGAGAGGCATTGGGACTTCAATGTTGCACCCAGAACTGAACTGATCTCACGCCTACTCACTGGTATGGAACCTAGGGAGGGGGCTGGGAGCTGGACAAATTGCACACCCTGAACCTGTGGAGGAAAGCCCCCACCTGGGGGTGTGGGAAGAACAGAGTAAATCAGGCAGGTGAGAATACCGGTGGGGGGCCAGGATGTAGAAGATGCTGAGAGCAACTTGCTCTGGCTTCGGAGGAGGGAGGGAGGACCTGGGTGTCCCCCCCAACCTTGGGGAGTGAGGCTGCCACAGGGCCGAGGAGGCTGCAGGTACTGTGTCCTTTGGGGATAGGTAGCAAGCAGGGGGGCAGGTGGCTGCCGGGCTGCTTCCCTGGGATGCATGGCCCAAACTGGGGCAGGAGCAGGGTACCCTCGTGGAGTTCAGGTGGCATTGAGGGGGCTGCGATTGGGGCTAAGGTTGACGGTCACTGAGGCTATGGGGCAGGCTGGCGTGAGGCCGCTGGCTTGGTTCCAGGGGAGGCAAGTCCTGGCGATCCCGGGCCTCCTTTTTTTTATTTATTTATTTATTTTATTTATTTATTATTTTTTATTATTTTTTTAATTTATTTATGATAGTCACAGAGAGAGAGAGAGGGAGGCAGAGACACAGGCAGAGGGAGAAGCAGGCTCCATGCACCAGTAGCCCGACGTGGGATTCGATCCCGGGTCTCCAGGATCGCGCCCAGGGCCAAAGGCAGGCGCCAAACCGCTGCGCCACCCAGGGATCCCCGATCCCGGGCCTCCTTGATGCACCCCACTGCCGTGCATGCTCTGTCATCACCCCTCATCTCCCTGCCCCACCTGCCTTTCTGGCAACACTCACTGTATACTTGCTGTATGCCAGGCTCTGCGCCACATGCTTCCTAAGAGCCCTGTGAAGCGGGCATCATTATCACCCCACTGCATTGATGCTAGGCCCAGAGACCGTCATGCACTTGTCCCAGGTGACTCAGCCCATCATCTCCACCCTGCTCTCCGGGAGCCCAGAGTTTAGGCTGGTGGCTCCCAGCTTTGGCAGACAGACATGGCCCCCCTGGGAAACACCCTCAAGACATGGTGTGCCGTGGCCGACCCCCCCCAGATGGCAGAGGAAAGGCAGACTGGGCCTGGCACTGGGCTGGACACAGCCCCCTCCCAGAAGGTTCCAGGGAAGGATCTGGGCTGGCCTGGAATCCCAGGCTGACCAAAGGCAACCGTGGCATGGTGGCGATGGTGCTGGAGACGAGTTTTATTGGCTTTTGCTTTTCTCGGGGGGCGGGGGTGCAGTTCCCCCGCAGTGCAGCTGCGTGAACTCACACGGATGGGTGCTTATCTCATCTCGAGTGGATCTAAGAATCTATACAGAAAACAGAGACCAGAGGAGGAAATAGGAAACGGGAACAGAACCACCACAGGAGGTGCCACCTCCTGGTGCTCGCCCCCCCCCCCAGCCCACCCCCCCCCCAAGCAAGTACACAAAACAAACTCATGGGATTCCACAAAGGAGGGAGAGCTGGGCCTTGGGGAATTCAGGGATGGATTCCATTCGCGTGTCCAAACTGAGGCAGGAGGAGAAAGAAGGAGGAAAAAAAAAAATCCAGAAAGCTAAAAATAGTAAGTGTTCCTTAACTGCTCACGTCCAGACAACTCGACTCTTCAGAGCTTTCAGCAAGAGGCAGGTGCTCAGGCTGTCTGCGGCTCAGGGACCCTCAAAGATTTGTTTGACTTTAGGAAGGTGGCTTAGCAGAGGAGCTTGTCTCCCTGGCAGAAAGGAGCTACCATCCCCTGAGGGCTCCAAGGGGGCCCTGAGAGGGCAGGGGGCTCTGGGGCCCTGCTGCCTCCAGCCAGGTCAGGAAGCTGCGTTCCCCAGGCCCAGGCCTCTGGGTCTGGCACATTTCCCAGGGGTGGCCATTGGGCATCACCTTCTCGGCCAGAGAGAGGGAGCTGGAGAGTGGGCTCCCAGGAGACCCCGGCCCTGCTGGGAGCTGGGTGGACAGTGGGCTCACTGAGCTCTTCCATGGAGCGAGGGCAGGATTTGGGGCCTTGCTCTGGGATTCTCCTGAGAAACGGGGCGGGTGGGAGGGCTCGGGGCTGTCTCCCCTGGGGACCAGAGCCTGATGGCCCAGTGGGTAGGAGGGCCTGGTCCCAGGCTTCATGGGGAGGCTGATCCTCGCTCTGTCTGCCTATACACCAGGGCTTCGGAGCAGGGCACGTATTTTAGCCTGGATACTCCTGAAGCAGGTGGTTGGCACGTGACCTCCCTCTTCCACCAGAAAGTCAGTTGGGGCTATGAATCTCAGGGGCCTGGCTGCCCCCAAAACTCTTCTAGGGCATCCGCAGAGAGGCCAGCCCAAAGAGTGTCTCAGCCGCTTGGCACCTGAAGCCAGGGGTGCATGTGTGAGGGGGGCCGGAAAAGGCAGCGGCCCCCTTTCCAGGACAGAACACTGGTCTGCAATTGCTACTGGACCAGGGGCATCGCCGTTGCTACCTCTTCCTTGAACAGGGAGGGGGAGGGGGTGTCAGGGTCCGGCCTTGCAGCCGGGGATGGCGATGTTACCGGGGCCGAGGTCGGGGCTACCCTCTGCTGCAGCTTTACTGGACAGCAACTCCGGGGTCAGGAGCCTGGTACCCCCGCCCCCGAGCCCTGCCTCGCCTGCCGCCCCTACCCCCGGCGGCCAGGCAAGCGCTCCCTGGGTGCTATCCCTGTGGGGGGCTGCGGAGCTTCCCAATGGGCCCCCATGGCTGGCAGGGAGACGAGGAGGGCCGGGCTGAGCCCCGGTCCTGGCCTGGCCCCGGGCCGACGCGCCAGGGGGATGCCACCCTCCCACGCCATGGTGTGGGGCTCAGACATCGGTGCTGATGCTGCGGCTCCGGGAGAAGGCCTCCCGCATGGCCGACAGGCGGTTGGGGTTGAGCGCCTGCAGGCCCCCCAGCCCCCCGGGCGGCAGCTCCGAGTCCTCCTGGCCCACGCTCTGGTAGGCCACGCGCTCCCCGCCGTTGCGCACGCTCTCGTCCTCGGGCTCCTGCAGGAAGAAGGCGGGCGGCTCGTAGTGGGAGCAGCTGCGGCACAGGGCGCGGGCCTGCGGGGTCTTCTGGCTGAAGGAGGTGGAGGCCGCCGGGTAGAGCGCCGGCCCGTTGGTGAGCACGAGGTTGCGGCTGCCGGGCAGCGGGGGCAGGTGCGAGTGCACAGCGAAGTCAGGCTCCTCCTCGTCCTCCTCTGACTCGTCCTTCTTGCAGCAGTAGTACTGTGGGCAGAGAGCTGGTGACGCCTGGCTCCCGCCCGCCCCCTACCCCAAGCGCACGGCGACCACCCCGTGGGACCACCACGCAGGCCGGCCACCCCGCCGGGTGCTGCCGTAAGAGGCTGGCTGGTTTCATCCCCACGGCCACTGGAGGCCAGCGCCAGAAGCATCGCCATTTTGCAGGTGGGGAAACTGAGGCACAGACGGGTCAGGCAGCCCAAAGATGGGTGCTGGGCTGGGCTGCCTTGCCCTGCACTTAGGGCTCCCTCTCCCCTCAGGGACACCTGTGTGTTTGTGGGGGTGCAGTTTGGAGGGCCCTATGGTGTGGGCAGGGAAGGAAGAGTGCAGGGGCGGGGTGGGACTGGGGCAAGGAACACTGTCTATGTGCCACTGGCTAAGACCCTTACCCTCCCTGGGCCTGGGCAGCCTCTCCTTGCAGGGCGTCTGGGAAGGCCCGGGTCAGGTGAGCCAGGTGGCCACATCCTGAGCCCCCACAGGTGGGACCCAGGCCAGGGTTGTGCACTTTGCACCTTCCTCAGGACCCACCCCTTCCCCTCCTCCTGGGCCCCAGCCCTCGCGGGGTCCCCCCTCGCACCTCCCTCAGTGCCCCGGGAGTACCTGAAGCCGGCAGTAGCACAGAACAGCGATGATACAGAGCAGAATCACAGTCGCCAAGATGCCCCCAGTGATGACCACCGTCCCGGCTGTCATCCGCCCCTTTCTCCATCAACAGCCTGCAACACACACCACCAGCATTATGCATTGTTGCTTCCTCACCACAAAAGCAACCCCTTCTGGCTTGGAAAGTTGAGGAAACTGGCTGCAAGAGGCAGGAGAGACAAAACCCCCCCACCCCGGGCCATGCACGCAAGAGGCAGGAGCTGGGCCTGGGCACGGGGGCAGGAGGAGACCCAGGCCGGCTCTGCCCCTCCCACTCCGGGGCCTGGCTTCCACATGTGGAGGGGGTGATGCTAGCGGCATGCCCCACCCTGGCTCCCAGGGCTCCAAGAAGATTTCATGAGCACGCACTTCCCTTGAGTGCTCAGCGTATAGCTCCCTCTCAGGGAATGGCGCCCTTCCAGCCTGGCTCTCCAAGCTCACGCATTTTTAAATTCACCCAAACACAGTCAAGCTGAGCATATGGTTTTGTAACCTAACGAGATTGTCCTTATTTTTCCATATCATTACATTTTCTTCCCGACATCATTTCTAAGCATGTTCCATTGTATAACATATCCGATCGGTTCTCTTTAAGATTTCTAGTTGGGTAAAATACATATGCAGTTTGCCATTGTAACTTTGCTTAGTGTACTGTTTGTTGGTGTTACATACTCCACACGATTGTGCAACCAGTCTCCAGAACGTTGTTACCTTCCTCGACTGGAAACCAATCCTTTTTTGATAGTTAGGTCATTTACTTAAAAAAATATATATATATTCAAAGTGGATGTCTTTCCATACGTGTTTCTTTTTTTTTAATTTTTATTTATTTATTTATGATAGTCACAGAGAGAGAGAGAGAGAGAGAGAGAGACAGGCAGAGGGAGAAGCAGGCTCCATGTACCGGGAGCCCGATATGGGATTCGATCCCGGGTCTCCAGGATCGCGCCCTGGGCCAAAGGCAGGCGCTAAACCGCTGCGCCACCCAGGGATCCCTCCATACGTGTTTCTGAAGCTAAGCGATGGGAGTCATCTGAGCCATGGCCTACTCCAATGACTCTTTCCAGATAAATTCTTAGAAGTGGGATTTTTAGGCCAAAGGACGGGCCCTCATGTAAACTCTCCATCGTGGAACATGTCACAGAAACAAAAGCAGAGTGAACGTGCATCACTAGCTGCACTCTTGTTAGCTTTTCTATCCGTCCCACCGGGCACCCATAAACCCATTCTGGCATCAAAGCGCCCTGCCTGTAGCAGTCACTCATGCCCATTCTCACTGTGGCCTGGTTCAAGTTACAACCACTTGACAACTGGCTTGCAAAACTCCTTGATGGCTAACAATCATCTCCCACAAGCCAGTAGTCGTTGGCTCGACCATACCCTGCTCCAATTCACTATCCCTCATTTTCTTTTGCAGGGGCATGGCGTGGCAGGGGGGTGGGGGTGGGGCAACTGAGTACCTTAAAGGAAATCCCAGAGGGTATCAGTTTACTCATAAATTGTTCAGTGCAAAATCTGACAGATGAAGACTTTAACAAAAATACACAGTCTGTGCTCCGCTTCCTTCAATCGGCTCCAAAATGTCTTTTTTACAGTTTGGTTTGTTCAACGTAGGATCCAGTTGCGTTTGGCTCTTTCGATTCTAGAACATTTCGGTTCCCTTCATTCTCCTCGCCCACTCCCCGCCCCAAGTTGTTTATAGAAGAAACTGGGTCATTTATCTTACAGAATTTTCCATATACGAGAGCTGGCTGGGTTTCCTCCATCACGTGATCCTCCATCACGGTTTTGTCGTCTACACTGGCATCCTATCACATCGCTTTCAGGGGCTGAGCCTCCAGGCCTCCTGTCGACATGCCCAGGATAACCGGTGGGCTTAGCTGCTATCAGTTGAATTCCTTCTTTGGAAAGTTCCTTGCCGACCCTCCGCCTCATCGATTTAGCAGCCTTTGGGGATTGTTACTTAGATCGACTATTTCATCAGAGGCTGCCAGAGAGACTTTTCAAACACCATCATCTCTTCCGCATTTATCAGCTCTGGTCCTCTCTTAAAGAACGTTCCCTAATACCGACACAGTTATCCTGAAATATAGTCTGCAGAGGAAAGGCCCAGATGCTCAGTTCTTAACCAGTTTTCAGAATAGGTGGGCTCCCCAAGAGATTTGTGGTAGTTTCCCAATATCACTATGATCCCACTGATTATTACATATTTAATGTACTTATTGATTTTCAAATGATCCCACTGGGACTATGGGCTTGGAGGCCCTTCACGTCAGCTCCTGTGTCATTTTGATGGGACCCCCCACTAATGCTTGATAACATTTTGCTTTTAAGCACAAGATGTCCCAGCTCATCTTGGTCCTGGGATGCACTCTTGCCCTGTAACAGCCTGGGTCTCTTAGTGGTAAGTGGTTTGTAGAGAACATAGTCTGAGCACTAGGGGTGCTAGCTGCTCCTGGGTCCCCCCCCCCTTTTTTTAAGATTTTATTTATTTATTCATGAGAGACACAGAGAGAAAGGCAGAGACACAGGCACAAGGAGAAGCAGGCTCCATGCAGGGAGCCCAATGTAGGACTCAATCCCGGGACCCCAGGATCACACCCTGAGCTGAAGGCAGACGCTCAACCACTGACCACCCAGGCATCCCTACTCCTGGGTTTTCATTGGTTCTATGCTTTTTCAGACACCAGAGCCAGGGAATACTTTCTTTTCTAGAAATAGAAAAATAAAACATGAGCTTATATTGACCTGATTCCTTGTTTTTCCCTATGATATGTAATAACTTAAAAATAGCATTACCAATATTTTTACCAACGTATCTCCTGAATGGAACATGATGCTTACTCATTACTCTTTTTTGTTCTTACCTCCTCAGGGGCGGATAGTAAAAAAGACTGTCTCACTTGAAATAATTCTTAGTATGGTTTTTCCACCAACTAGATCCTCAGGTTGATTTATTCCAGTTAGTTCTTATGGGATTTTGTTGTTGTTGTTTTTAAATTTGATTTAGTTTTGCCTTCTAGTTGTAGAAAGCACTTGGTTCCAAAGTCAAAAGCCTAAAAGCAAGGGCATTCAGAGAGGTCTCACTTCCTGCCTCTCCCCTGCTCTGCCCCAGAAGGAACAATTTTACTTCCCTCTCATTGCTTCTTTCTAAAAATATAAGCAAATACATACTTCCTTCCTTCTCTTAAGCTAAAATGGCATTCCGTATATGCTTTCCACACCTTCCCCGTCTCACCAGGCGGTCTAGCACTGCATGTACCATATGCGCCCTGGTCACGCTGAACGTCCCCAGGGACCCCTGCAGAGCCTGGCTTCTTTTCCAAGCTGCATCGTGCTCCATAGCGTGGGGAAGCCCAGCTTACTCAGCCAGGCTCTATGGGTGAGCATTTGCATTATTTCCTACTTTTTTACGATTACAGGAATGTGCAGTGAAGAGCTTTATGGTGTGCACGTTTCTAAAGTTTTTGATAAACCTTGCCAAAGACTTGCTGGAATCTGCGGCTGTTTCTCCCCTTCCAGGAATGTGTGAGAACTGACATGGGATTTTCATTCGGAGACTCAAGAGCTGAGCAGTTGGTGTGTGGGGGAGGGAGGGGCTGGGCCCCCGCCCCAGGGCAGCCGTGTGGGAAGGGGGTGGTGAGGTCAGAGGTCTAGGGGTTTCCCTGCAGACTGTACAGCTGGGCTGGGAAGGGGGTCTGGGGGATGCGAAGACCAGCACCCCGTCTGTAGATGGACATGGAGAGTCCTTCCCAGGAGGCACTGTGTGTGCATCAGAGGTGAGTCTGGGAGGAGAACCCAGACTCTAGACAGATAGACAGATGTGTACAGACCCCAAGTGATGAGACAACAAGACACGGACTCACAGACAGCTCCGAATTCAGATGGAGGTGCAGACAGGCAGACGCAGACAGGGCCCAAGTCAGGAAGACACAAGGCAGGCCACACAGACAGACAAAGAAGGCGCCCCGGGGACCCCCACATTCCCGGGCGCCCTGCCGGGCACCTCCCACCCGCCTTGGCCCCTGGGGCGGCTGAGGCCAGCTGGCCTGCTGGTCCTGCCAAGGGTGCAGGCCGACCTGGGGCCGGATCCAGGGAGTTGGGTGTGCAGGCGAGGCGGCTGGCGGGGGGATGCTGGGCGGGGGCCAGGCCTGCTGTCCAGATGCATTTCACGCTTTTCGCTGAGGTGAGGCAAAGAAAAACAGACGGCTGATGGCCTGACTCCCCCACGCCCTTCCCTCCTGTGGGGCTCGTAGGATACCACAGCCCACCTCAGCCTCACTCCGAAGTAGCCCGGACGCCACAGCGGAATGCACCCTGGGAGCCCTCCTTCGCGTCCCTGGCTCGTGGGAGGGCAGAGCAGACCCTGGGACTCTGACTTTGCAGACAAGGACTCAGGGTCAGGAAGACAGGGCAGTTTCTGGCGCTCCAGCCAAAGCCAGTGCCCATCAGGGCGGGCCAGTCCATGCGCACCCTTCTGGCAAACAGGACCCCATCACAGCCCAAGGCCATCCATGCCCCACGGCCCACCCGCCACCTGGAATCTGGGGCTGCCCAGGACTGGGGGGCATGAGCATCCCCACTGTCCTGCACAGCACTTGTTGGAGACCCCTCGGGTGTGGTGGTTCCCACATTTGAAGATGAGCAAACCAAGGCTGGCAGAGGTCCCAGCAACTAGGAGTTCTGGGGTCAGGGCCCAGGTTAGACATGCCATATCGTCACATCTGGGGGCCGAGATGTGCCCCTGTGAATCCCGCTGTGCAAAGCCCTGCAGCCGTAGGTCTCAGGGCACTACCAGCCCCTACCCTCCTCCCTGTGCCTTGCCCTTACAGTCCATTGGTATCCTGCTGCCAGCCCTCCGGCCACAGCTTGCTGGAGTCGGAGTGGACATGTGTCACAGGCCGAGCCGATCCTTCCCTCTTTCCCAAGGAAGGGCTGAGACCCAGCACCAGCCAGTCCCTGCCGGTCACTTGACCCAAGGCAGAGACACAGGTGCTCAGGCTGCAGCCAGGGTGGTGCTTTCAGCCATGTGTGTGGACAGCCGGAGGGGCTGGTCTGTGTGTGGGAGAGAGGA